AGATAGTCAATTAAAAGATTTTTTCCCAAGGCCCATTCTACCAATAGGGAAAGACTTTACATAGCTTATCAAGCTGTGCTTTGTTATTTTTTTTCCGTAGAATTTTGTCCACGGTATATTTTATACTTGAAAGCATGTACCAAGTAAATATTATTGTTTAAAAGCCCAAACTTTTTCTCAGTTTAAAGACGGGTTTGGTGGGGACGGAGGAGGTGGTGGTGGTGTGAGGGGGGGGGGGGGTCTAACGTGGGAATAAGTTGACGGCTGGGGGAAATGACCGCTGCTGACAATAGGCTTAGTCGTGTACATGACACAGACATGACATGATGACATGTCCACTATGTGGGACTGTCTCCTGTCACGTGACTTTAGTAGTGGTAGTGTTGTTCATTGTGCTACCAACTGGTGCACATCATGCTAAAGAGTGTTGCGCACCATGGTACCAAGTGGTGCACACCATGCCGCGTAGTGTACACGAAGAAACAACTTATGTTTTACGAACCATTTGTCAAGTAACAAACTGGTAGATCTGTTTTAAAACAAAATCTTTGACTCAAGTTAAAAAACCATTGAACTTTACAGCGAATGTGTTCAAAGAGATCAATCATGCACATTTTAAAAAATATAAAAGAAAGACATTATGCCCTAAATAAATAAAGATAATTAGCAGATAGTTAGCAGACGCCAGCACCTAAGCCTAATGAAACCGGAACGTTAAGTTAGACCATTGTTGTCTGGTGTTTACGGGGGGGGGGGGGGGGGGTCTTGGGCTTTGTTTATGACCTGGATGGTCTGACCTCCATGGCCAATGACCTCCATGGCCAATGACCTCCATGGTCAATGACCTCCATGGTCAATGAACTCCATGATCAATGACCTTGATGGTCTATGACCTCGTTGGCCTAAGACCTCAATGGCCTCTGACCAGAGGCGTAGCGACCCTTCCCGGCGCCCGGGGACATACTTTCAATTTGGCGCCCCCCTCGGGAGCAAATTTTCGATTTGCACCCCCCCCCCTCGAACTTTTTATTTGCACCCCCCCCCCTCAAACTTTCGATTTGCACCCCCCCTCGAACTTTTCATTTGCACCCCCCCCCCCCCTCAAACTTTCGATTTGCACCCCCCCCCTCGAACTTTTCATTTGCACCCCCCCCCCTCAAACTTTCAATTTGGCGCCCCCCCTAAGGTCGGCGCCCGGGGACATATGTCCCCCCCCCGCCCCCCCCCCCCTCGCTACGCCTCTGCCTCTGACCTGGATGGTCTATGACCTTGATGGTCTATGACCTTGATGGTCTATTACCTCGTTAGCCTAAGACCTCAATGGCCTCTGACCTGGATGGTCTATGACCTTGCTCCATATAATCGAGTGGCTGACGTGACCGGAAATGGATGTATGTTTGACTGGGCATTTCGTCATAGAGCAATCTTTGTCTTCTGTCAGTTCCAGGCCAGTGCACGAGGGAGGCGGGGGGTGGGGGCGTGGCTCAACTCATGCTGTTTCTAGTACACTTTGCGGGGTGGGGGAGGATGTCTAATAGACTGGAAGAGACATGAATGCTCAGTTTGAGGTGGAAACTTATCCCACGAGCCTCCATTTGTCGCGTTCACATTTTACAGCTAGTGTGTTCAATCATACACCACTTACATGAACGTTCTTAAGCTTGTTGTTGCCTCACAAGATAATTAACTCGTACCATGTCTTACGCGAGCATTGTTTTACATGAACGGTGTCTGTAGTTCAAAGTTTTACAAACAAACAAACAAACGAACAAACAAAAAAAACGACATGAGCAGCCGAATACTGGGTTAAGAGGTCAAAGTTCGAGTGTGTTATGTGGTAGTCTACAGAGCAAAGTTTACGACGGTGCGAGTACCAGGTGCGCATGCAAAGAAAGGGAATTCCCGTTACAACTCCTACTTTCCTTTTGTTCATGTAACTAAATCTGTTTATCAAATGTCGATTTTGATAATCTGTTAATTAAGGGATTAATTTTGCTCGTACAAAAATCTGGTAGAACTGAAGACATCATGTCAAATAACATTCCTAAAGTTGCTCCATAAAACAGGCAGGCAATATAAAGCATGCATTGCTTTACAAATGAAATCGATCTCTCGCAAATACACTTTTAAAAAAAAAATCAGCAAGATATTTGACTAGGATGATATTTGACTAGGATGATATTTGACTAGGATGATATTTGACTAGGATGATATTTGACTAGGATATTTGACCAGGATGATATTTGACCAGGATGATATTTGACCAGGATGATATTTGACCAGGATGATATTTGACCAGGATGATATTTGACTAGGATGATATTTGACCAGGATGATATTTGACTAGGATGATGTTTGACCAGGATGATATTTGACCAGGATGATATTTGACTAGGATGATATTTGACCAGGATGATATTTGACTAGGATGATATTTGACCAGGATGATATTTAACTTGGATGATATTTGACCAGGATGATATTTGACTAGTTTTGATATTTGACTAGGATGATATTTGACCTGGATGATATTTGACCAGGATGATATTTGACCAGGATGATATTTGACGAGGATGACATTTGACTAGGATGATATTTGACGAGGATGATATTTGACCAGGATGATATTTGACCAGGATGATATGTGACTAGGAAACTAATGCTAAAAAAACCTTCCGTGATCTCTAGGCCTCTAGCTCTATCTAGTCCGATGTTAAAATAACGATAATAAACGCAACTCACTTCCCTACTTTATGTGCTCGCACTAATGGGCACACGTGACCTCGAGGCAAGAGCACTCACGTTTGACCCTCGTGTGAATCTACCCCCCCCCCCTCCTACATAGATAACGGCGCCTAGGTTTATCATGGCTACCTACGCTAGCTCAAGTTTTTTTCCCCCACAGAGGTAGATGTTTACTATGTTGTTTGACGGTGGTGTCATTTTTTCATCGTACTCAAATAAAAGAAATGTTTCCGTGCAAGAAATTGTATACTTACCATTTTTGTGTGTTTGTTTTTGTTTTTAAAACATCCCAAAGTACTAATATTATTCGTTCCGTTCAAATCTGGTTTAGAAATATTTACTCAATCTGGCAAATGTGTCTAGCACATGTCATGGAATTTGTAGTACCGTTAAAAAGAACAGCCAGAATTTTTCTCCAAGTTAAAGTAAGAATTGAATGTCGTCAATGGCTTGTGGACGAATGGCTTGTTGTAAAATCCAAGAACCGAGTCAAGAATCAACTCAGCACGATCGCTAAACACAATACCAAGACATTTCCGCTCACACTTACAACACAAAAAAACTCACACGGCATGCAACTGAAGGCGCAGCGGACTGCCAGCCGACAACTCTACGCCAACTTTTGCTTCCCTATCCACCTCGCCTCAGCCTGTACGCTCGTGCGTGCACGGAGAGGGGGGGGGGGGGTGAGCGGACAGTGAGTACGCTTTGGACGAGGTTTGTGAGGAAGTAGGTGTAGCCAGAGCGCCACTTTAAAACTGAGTTGAAAGCTGGCGTTAATAATTTAGGACAGGCCAGTCTATCAGTTTAATACTCGCTGTTTGTCGTGGGGGAAGAGAGAAAGAGAGAGAGAGAGAGAAAGGGGGAGGGAGGTGCTAATAGACTATCTGTTTCATTCTTTTAGGGGAATAGAGAGTGATACTCAGTGATAGTCTCTGGTTAATACTTGCTACTTGCTTTGACTAGAGATTAGAAGTCTGAAAACTCGCTACAAAAAAGGACACTTTTTACTGACACCATTTTTATTGTATACACAAATCTGACACCCGTTTCACTGCACAGACACCAGTTCAACATACAGACACCATTTAGCGTGATCAAACCGACGAAATTCTCCTGTATAAACTAGCACCAATTTGTAAAAGTCACAAAATACCACCAATTTGTTAACTTATGTTTGTAGTTGTTTTTTTTTTCTTGTGTGAAACTAACTACGGGCCAAAGGATACCTGCCTTTGTTATCACACGTCGCTAAATTAGGAAAATACTATATATATATATATATATATATATATATATATATATATATATATATATATAAATTCTCAACACATTTTAAACAAGTCTAAATTTAGAATTTTTAAAAAAAATTCTAGATTACATACAGCTTTACACACACATAAAACTAAATATTTCCCACACTGACAGACGAATATACCCCACCTACATACAAACAGCTAAACAGTTGTCTTATTGTAGTTGAAAATATCCTTCACACACATACATGTGAATATTCCCCCGGGGTCATCCATAAATGACGTCACACTTTTTTTGACGATTTTTACCCCCCCCCTCCCCTCCGTCACACATAGTCACATAAAGACAGACACCCCCCCCCCCCCTAAAATGACGTCACACTTCAGCCTACAACCCCCCTCAAAATTGCAGTTGAATTTTTTTAAACATTGATATTTTTCCAAAATCTTGTCTGAACTCTGTCAAAATAAAGCATTTTAGTCAAATCCTATTACAATTTATTAAAACAGTTTTCTAAAACGCGAAATAACGTCTAAAATTCGTATTCTAACATTGCTTTTTTATAATGCAAAAGTGTGACGTCACACCATCTGAACCCCCCTCCCTCCCATCACACACACCGTCACAAAATTGCGGACCCCCCTCCCCCCTATGGGTATGACGTCATATTTTGATGCAAACTGTGGAATTATAGTATTATACTCAAGAAAAGAGATTTAAAATTGTAATTTAGGCTATTGGTTTCTTTTATTGAGGGGCATATGACTAAATGAAGTGACATTTTACAAAAATGTGTTATTTTTAAAAAATAAAACTATAAATACACAGTTTTATTTGTAAATGTAAATGGCTTTAGTGTTATTATTTTCAATTAGGTGTATAATATATTGTTAAATTGGAATAAAGTAATTCAGTTTACTTTTTTTTTATAAACAAGACTAATATTAATAATATTTTTCTTAAATTTAGAAATAAGGCGAAATAAAACTTCTGGGTTTAATTTTAAAGATGGCTGCCACCGTGAAACAACAACTCAATCAGTTGATGAGTCTATCTCATTCAAGTGGATCCCACAAGGATGTCACTGAAAAGTAAAACAATACAATGTCAATAAGAATAAAGAACTTAAATCTATATCTAGTTACGATTTACATTTTAAGAAGTCTGTTTTGTGATATGGATCTAGACTAATCTAACTCTTAAAATGTAGACTTGTGACTGTCACTGCACTGACTGTCTGTGTGTGACTGTGACTACACTAAATTCTAAATGTACTAAAATACAGTTACACTATACTCAACTACACTGTTACAGTGTTACACACTACTGTGACTACACTACTTACTACACTTACTCTTACACACTGGAGATAGCTCAACTCTGCAGTTGTTGCTTTGCCGGCTTTTCTAAAAAAAACTAAAAATGTATTTATTTAGATCTACTTTTATCAAGTTATTTTTGTACAAAATGAATGACAGTATTTTTGAGTATATCATATATGAGTAAATTACATAGATTCTACATATAATGTGATAAAGCAAATTTTTACAGCCTGCTTACTGTAGCTACTACAAATTCCTCTAGCCACACCATATGAAAGTTAAAACTACAGCTACTTATAATGCCTTTAATATGTTGTAGCGGAAATAGGCCAAAAATTGTGGAAACGTAAACATTAATTTTTATGTTCACAGATACAAATCAATCCTTGAAGGAATTATCAAAGGTCCTGGGAATGAACTTGTCCCCTCATTACAGGCATTTATTGAAGCATGTAAGATAATATCTACTGTTTTCGTAGATCATTTGTTACACGGCTTTTTCAGATATTCACAGTGCTCCCTATTTTATTAAATGCTGCATATAAATTACTATAATTAAGCAACCATTGTGAGGGATCTAAAATAACATAGTTTTTTTATTACTCAATTGTTTTTAAGGGAATTAGTGCTGTGACAATGTTCCACCAACAAATAAAATTCTGTTTATGGATGCCTTTTTATCTCAAGCCCTATTATTCTACCTACCCTATTCTCAGCTTTCAATTAAATTCAAATAATTTTTCTTTTCCCCAGCCATGCTGACATCTGTTTCCATATTTCTTTCAGAATTTTTTTTTCACATCTCCCATTGGTATGTATTAGTATTTGATTGACAACAATTCAGCTTGTTTGTATTTTTTCAGTGGTGAGTGAAGGAGTGAGTCTCGTCATATCGAGGCAGATACTGACAGACTTCACTGCACAGCTGTCTCGTATGCCTGATGCTGTTGCCAAAGAAGTGTCACATTTCACTCTGGAAAAAATACAAGCGCGTGTGATCTCATTTGAAGAGCAGGTAAATCATTTCACTCTTTATTGGTACCAGTGAAGAAACAAAATAGTGTTAGTATGCCCTTGTTATAGCTCTAGAAAGTTATTCATTAACATATTCAACAAATGTGAACGAATCATATTTATCAAAGTGCATTGTATAATACAATTTCAGGTAGCAGCAATCCGTCAACATTTGGCCAATATATACGAGCGAGAGGAAAGCTGGCGGGAGGCTGCCAGTGTCTTAGTGGGAATTCCTCTTGAGACAGGCCAAAAGTAATTTTCAACTGATTACAAAATCTCTAATTAGTTTGATTTATTTACTATTATATTATATGTACATAATGTGTAGTTGACATTTGGTTGAGAGGTGACAACACAATTTTAACACCATCTGTAAGTTTACTGAGCACTTCTATCATAACGGACCTGTGTACCAGAGGTTAGGGCTGTGATCATGTTTTCATCAGAACATCATTGACAATCAACTGATAGCATTAAATAAAAGTCAGAGTTGGTGTGTTTCTCTTGCAAGTTCTTTGTTTTATGTGTAAAAAGTTCATTGATAGTAGTTTGTGTGTAGTTCTGTCTGATTACAAAATAGTACCTCTATAATCTCTAATTTTTTAATATTAGATTGTCCTTTTTTAGTGATTTAAAAAGAATAAAACTGTTAAACTTTATTTTAAATACATTGTCTCCTGACTAAATGACTTGGTAACACAGGTACATTTAGAAAGCTTTGATCTGAAAACTACAATTTCCTCTGGCAGTTTTGATATTGTGTGACTTTCTATTACCAGACAGTACAGTCCAGATTACAAACTTGAGACCTACCTAAAAATAGCCCGGCTGTTCCTAGAGGATGAAGATGCTAACCAGGCAGACGCTTACATCAACAGAGCTTCTTTACTTCAGGCAGAATCTAAGAATGAAGAGCTACAGATTCTTTATAAGGTAAATAGACGGGGTGATCCTTTTATCTCTTCAATCAAGCCTTTAGAACAGGTTATTAAAAAAAAGTGTTTGACGAGATGTCCATTTAGTATGCAAATTCGGCATCATTTCTTCAAAAAGCTTGAACTGTAGGTTACTTTAAATAAATCAATGCTGAAACTAAGGGAAGGTTACTATAGGGTAATGTTTCCACTCCAATGCATTGTTTAATATTTTGTAATATGTTACTATTTTTAAAATAAAAACTAATAACCTATAAAAAGCCTTTATTAATTGCATAAATAACTCATTTGATTTTTAATGCATGTTGTATTTCAGGCTTGCTATGCCAGAGTTCTTGATTTTCGTCGCAAATTTATTGAAGCAGCCCAGCGTTATAATGAGTTGTCATTCAAGACAGTGGTGTCTGAAGATGAGAGACTAACAGCACTAAAAAATGCCCTCATTTGTACTGTTCTGGCTTCTGCTGGTACGTTTTATTTTCCATTAGGTTATTGTGACAAGAAAGAAAAGATCATCTCCTAATGATCTTTAGTTGTGGCCCCTCAATGGCTGCGTTATAACCTTATGTGAGCTTGTGTTCACATTACTTACATGTATTTCTTTTGAACAAAACTTTAATTGTATTTTAAAAATATGTTTTAATACATGAGTAATGTTTTCTCTATCTTTGGCAACAATGAATTATCTGTTTATCTTTGATACATTCTCAGGACAACAGAGATCTCGCATGTTGGCAACACTTTTTAAAGATGAGAGATGTCAACAGCTTCCAGCGTACAGTATTTTAGAAAAAATGTCAGTTTCTTGCATTATTTTTATTACTTTATGTGATATTTTATTACAAAAAGTGGTATTTGAAGATAGAAGGAAGCATCACTAATTAAAAATAGTTTAAAATGTTTTTTGGTGACAGCATTTGCTGATGAGGCTTGTATTGTGCTATTTTTTACCTGGAATCGAAAAAGATATATTTTTTTTAGTAGTCTTGGTACTTAGAATAATCCAGAGTATTATTTAATTTTTTATATTAAATCCCACAAGGTACCTGAAGTAATCTGCACTAATGTTATTGTTTATATTATATCCCACTAGGTACTTAGATAGAATAATCCGCAGCAGTGACCTACATGATTTTGCTGCCCTCCTTCTACCCCATCAGAAGGCCATTACACCTGATGGTAAGTTGTCTTGATTATTATTTCATAAAGCCTTAGAATAATACCTGCTGAATTGAAATCCATTACACAGGATGGTATGTTATTTTAGGCACATTTTTGGAGAAATTACCTTTTGTAATATGAAGCAATTTGTCTTATGAAACAAATTGTAAACATTTCACCCCATTTTTGTTTTTCCTTTGCTAAAGGTTCAACAATTTTAAGCCGAGCAGTGACAGAACATAATCTACTTTCTGCTAGTAAACTCTACAACAACATTTCATTTGAAGAGCTCGGCTCACTGCTAGAGATACCCCCAGCCAAGGTCAGAGCTTGCAGTTATTTTACCTGTTATATACTGGACGTAAACCACTAATAATAGCTTTACCTGTGTGTTTTGGGGAGGGTTTCATTCATGTAAAAATGGTAAATTTCAGGCAGAAAAGATAGCCTCCCAGATGATCACAGAAGGGCGTATGAATGGCTATGTGGATCAGATAGACTCCACTGTACATTTTGAAGGTAGTGTTTTTTTTTTAAAAATGTAATCTAAAATCTGTAGCCAGTGTTTGAAATTTTTTTAACTCAGCACAATCTAAAAGGTTACTGATCTAAACTCAGTTTTTTTTTTAAATTTTGATCTTACCATTGGTATTTTCTCACTGCATTGGAAAAAGTTTTGTATACCCTATGTGTCCTGCCCTTTGTTGCAGCCCGCGAAACACTGCCAATGTGGGACCGACAGATCCAGAGCCTCTGCTTCCAAGTGAACAACATCATTGAGAAGATTTCAACCACTGAGCCTGAATGGTTTGCCAAAGCTATGGAGAAATTTTCTGACTGAACCCAAAGACTCACCCCCAATGATCATGTGCCACAAACTGTTGCTGGACGCAAGTTCCGCACAAGTCTCCAATACACTGTGTTGCCAATGGGAAACTTGCCTTGTTCCTAATGGTGTTTCTTATTGGAAAACTACTTTATTGAAAACATTTGTAACTATTCCTACCAAAGTGTGAATCATAGCACACATGCAGTCCCTGAGGAACTAGGATGTATTTTGATATTTTATCTTATTTGTTGTCATCCAGAATCAGCTTTTTGTTCAGAAATAGTTGTGCTGTTAGTTTTTTCACTGCCTTTTATTTAGAAAGTTTGTGTTTATAATTTAAATGAAAAATATCACTACCCCAAATAACAGATTTGTTTAAGAACGGCTACTTATAATAACTCCATAAAACTGATGCATTGTTTAACTTATTGATAACAGGATGTCAAGTTGTTAAAGTTGATGGGGTTTTTTTTTACCCCAGAGAGATTTATGTGGATACAAAAAATGGTTCATTCATTAAAAATCTCTTCAGATGTTAGCACTTGATTTTTTTAATGGAATAAAAGGTCTAATACAGTATAGGTGCTCAGTCTAAAGCTGACTGACAGCACCAAGACAGTCTAAAGCTGACTGACAACACCAAGACATCTAAAGCTGACTGACAACACCAAGACAGTCTAAAGCTGACTGACAGCACCAAGACAGTCTAAAGCTGACTGACAGCACCAAGACAGTCTAAAGCTGACTGACAGCACCAAGACAGTCTAAAGCTGACCGACAGCACCAAGACAGTCTAAAGCTGACTGACAGCACCAAGACAGTCTAAAGCTGACTGACAGCACCAAGACAGTCTAAAGCTGACTGACGGCAGTGAGATGAGAAGAGCCAGATGTTGCCCATGTATCAGCTCCCCTCTCACCACACAGCTGATGGACCAAGAGACAGGGCGGTACCCATACATCTCAGCATCAGCTGTCGATTGGAAAACAGAGTTGGTAATCCTATTTGCTAAGGGACTCAACTCGTTTGATTTTAGAGTTTCTCTCCTAGAAGGGTTGCTATCCCTAACTAACCAGTCTCTTCTAAAAGAGGTATGAACTCGAGACTTTCCGGGTTCGGGTTAGTAGCTATGTGCTTTCCCGCTACAGTTTGTTCTATCTATACAATGGCTATACACTTTTATGGTACAAGTTCGTTATGGTTTTAGACTGGCGTTATTTTATGGAGGGGGGGGGGGGGAGGGTCTGGCATTTTGTGACGATAGGGAGGTGTACAGTTTTTAAAAGCGTGACGTCATTTATGGCATTACGGATGGCCCCTGAGACCCCAAGGCAGTCATCTAGCTGAGGTCACATGCTGGTTCAACGATAAATGACGTCATACGCTTTGACCGGAAGGTCTCTCTTTGTGACGTCACGTGGGGAAGGCGGGAAATTTTGGAGACATGACCAAACATTGTCTATTGAGAAAAGAATCATTTAAACAATGTTTAACAAGGCTACGAGTAAGGTTAAAGGGGGGGGGGGGGGGTGGTGTTGAACTTTGGCATATCATTGTATGCACTGTGTGACAACACAGGTTTGGATTTTTAAATTTGTTCGATTTTTGTGACGTCATTTTTAGACGACCCCTCAATCCATAGCAATCATAACCCTTTCAGTTGGTAATTGTCACCTAATTAAGAACCAAATAATCCTATCTGGGCCAAAACTGAACATTTAACGAAAAATATATCATTCAAATGAATTTTATTCACTTAAATTGTTTATTGAAATCAGGTAAGCATTCCAGTTTAACGAAAAAGGCCTACGTATTGCAATAACATTTCTTTGTATGATGTATCAAATTTCTCTCCTAACTCTAGACACACACAAATATCGCTAACCAGAGGCGGGCGCGGTAGGGGGTGCGGACCGCACCGGGTGACACCATGGCGAAAGTTGCAAAACAGAAGAAATATGCTTTTTGCCAGTTCATTTAATGATTAATTAGAGTTAATCCACCTATATTAATAACTGACTATAGATAAACATCTTTATTATTACCGAAATCTAATAATTTACGATGAAAACGAGACTTTTTCCACATGTATCAATAGGTGGATTTATATAATATGCGCACAAATTGACGCCTTTAGGCAAAATGGGAGGGGAGACACCTATTGCAACAATATATATAGGCTTATGTAGACCATATATATATATCTATATATATATCTATATCTATATATATATATATATATATATATATATATATATATATATATATATATATATATATATATATATATATATATATATATATATTATCTCTCTCTCTCTCTCTCTCTCTCTCTCTCTCTCTCTCTCTCTCTATATATATATATATATATATATATATATATATATATATATATATATATATATATATATATATATATATGGTGGTTCAACGCTCGTTAGCTGGGGACTGCAACCCATTGAGAAGAGATAACTCCAAAATCAAACAACTGCTACCTTGATGATTACCCCTGAGTGGACAAAGGCTTTAGAAAAAAAGTCCAGACAGAAAAGCAGATTGAAGTCCGAGTCAGCGGATCGCTTGGCGCAAAACATGATAAGTAATACTCAGTGAGGTTGGAGGAAATCCGATCCAATAATGTGGATGTAAATCCCCCCCCCCCCCCCCCACTAAGAGTTTCTTTCAAGCAACTCTTCGGCCACTCTCCCAGGTCGAAAAAGAAATTTATTAAGATTATATAGAAAATATATACTGCAATATTAGCTGTCCACCCGCCTCTCCCTGAAGAAAATGTTTGAAAGATACACTGGCTTCGCCCCTCTACGCCTTTGACGTATGCCTCTTTCACACTTAGGTGAATAAACGCTATGGCATTTCAGTTTCATCCAGGCATCTGGGGGGGGGGGGGGGTCCCAAAAAAGTCTGAAAGAAATATTGATCTCAAACGCGATACTGTAACTACCAATTCAACAGTAACGGACAAACAGCCTTGTTAATTAATTCAGTTTTCGTTTGCTAATAAACAAAAGATTTCAACTAAAAATAATGGCCACATTTGTATAGCTAACTAATCTAATTTTAATCGTTTTAAATTAAGAATTACGTCGCATGTGCAACTTTAAATGACTTTGGCAAAAAGTCATTGACCATTGAATTCTCCAAGAAAGTGGCCAAATACATATCTCCGAAGATATTTTGGCCGACAATTTTTTTTTTTCAAGTACAAGCAAAGTGGTATAAAATTAATTTTTTCAAAGTTGAATAAAACTATATTTAGAAATATGATTTAGAAAAAATAAAGATAATTTTATAATAGAAAGCTCATGTGATTCCTTTTTGTAGTTGAGCATTAATGCAACCAGTTATCTTTAATAATGAGAGGATGGGGAATTGGAATCTATATTTTCACATTTAATTAGTCAGTACAGACTTTCTTTTAACATAAAAATGAATGTTTTGAGAAGGTACAACCTCTAAATTAGTAAGCATTTTGACAAATTAGATTATTAAGTTATAGAATCTAGATCTACGTTCGCTGAATAATAATTTAAAAAAAAAAGACAAAAACAAATAGTTCTAGCCTAGGCCTAGACATTTTCGGTCGTACTTTTATCCAACCAATCAAAAACTGTCTTCGTGGTGGTGTTGATAGCTTCGCGGAAATTGACTGCGAAACAGTGCCGAAAAATTATGGGATGGCAATGGTGGGCGCGTGATTTTGAACAAAAAGTTTACTAAACATTATAGGTGTTCAACACATTCTTGATGATTATTGTTAAGTTATTTAGTCATTTTAAATAGCAGTATTAAATGAACTTAAAAATCATGATCATTCCGTTGTTCATGCCATTATTATGTCATTCGGGATGCATCCTGACCTCAAAGTGGGCCAATGCGCCATCATTGTAGACAATATTTTGACTATATCTATTTGGTGTCCGATTTACGGTAAGAAACGAGAATGCAAGGAAGTACCACATCTAATTTTCGTTAGTGCCACGTACTTTGAGCAATACGATTTTATTTTCATAACTGGTCCACCCATTGTTTGTAGATCTAGATCGACATGGCGTTTTGAAATGATTGCCTTCGTCCCCAAATCAGAAATCATATTTTTTAATGAGCAGGAAGACAGATAAGAAAACAATGATTTTTTTTTTTTAAATTTGGTCTGTTGTTAGTTTTCATAAACATGGTTTATTAATTAATATAGGCTAGAGAAGTCTAGATCTAGATCTAGATGTAAAATAGATTTTAACCTTAACTTCAGTTTCAATTTTAAAAGCATGTTTCTGTTAAAAACTAACATGATGACATGCATTCCTTGTTGACTAGGGTAAGAGCTAGACTAGTGACTAGTCTAAAAGTCTAGTGTTGAATATGAGAAGTGTAGGCTATTGGAATTAATTCTAATCTAGATCTAGATCTTGACATCTCTAGAGGCCAACCTAGTGTAAAAAAAAGATAGATCTCTCTAGGCCTAGAATCTACTTTTAGTATTTTCATTTTTAACTTTTTTTGTCAATTTAATAAAAAAAAAAAAAACCATGAGATTATCAGTATAACTTAGTAATCTAGCTGCTAGGCATGTCATAATGGGAGTATTGGTATTATCAATGTCTGACAATAGTCAATAGACATCCAAAACTAGGCATGGTAAAGTTTGTTAGTTGTATTGTAATCTCAGGTTTAATGTTATGATCATGAATCTATATATATAAAATTCTCTTCTTGGATACCCTAGAAAACACCAAGCTGTAAGCGCGCCTAGCAGCCCCCTCTCTTCCTCTCTAGGCATATCCCTACCACCCCACCCCCACATGGTCTGGTGAGCTGTGGTTCACGCTAAATGTTTACAATCATAGAGCCGGGTTTAGTGACGGCTATTAGGGGCATATAATTTAGTTTGAAACGATTTTAAACTTAGGGGAGGTAACTAAGAGGAGGCTGCTTTCACCGGGGGGGGGGGGGGGTATCGTCCTTATCAACCTACTGATAGTGTTTAAGTTTTGAAGCAAATATTTTCAGTGGCAGCATTGGTACTGTTGAATTCACAAATTATGAATTACTGAAAAGTAGAAAAAAACAACTAAATAGCGGCATATGATACGCAGCGGGTCGGCTCTTTATAATTAAGGCTTATGTTTAAAGATAGGGCTACAGTAGATAAATAGATTTGGGTTAATGATAGTAAGTGATAGGTCTGGCAATGTGTTGACATTAACATTAATTTTTTAGTAATGATTAGTTTGGCCTAACTACCAGTAGGCCTAATCTAGGGTTAGCATTGATATTAGCAAGTCCTATGTTTATTTAGTTAACTACCAATGACCCAACACCCCTTTTTTAAGAAGATTCTATTATTGTGTATCTGACACTGGTGTAATAAATACACCCTTTTTTGTGTCAGACAACTTTATGGAGTAATTCATGTTCTTGCTACTAAAAGACCAAAATCTAGTTCCAATTTTTACAATATTTAGATCTAGGACCTAACCATGATAGAAGAAAATTGGTCTGAACTGATAATAATTAGGGCCTAAATACTGATAGGTCTACTAGGAATAAACAGTTGATAAAATTTTCTCTAATCAGTGATGAATAAAATGGGATCGGAGCTACTATACCCTTATTTGAAACATGGTTAGTCTTACACTAAATGTAAAAATTTGACCAAGTTTTGCTCATCTACTACTAGACTAGTTCAAAACAACTTTGTAGACCTACAAAATGATTTTATGTGTAGATAAGTTATGTGCAATCAGAATTTGAAAAAGTTGGCATAGCTAATTAACAATGCTAACTGTCGCCAACATTGTGTCATGATTTATAGCAGTTATTATAGAAGTATTTAATGACCGGTTACCATATCTCCTCATCATAAGGATCTTAAACTGTTGTAGTTATTGACATTAATTATTTTCTATAATTTATTTGGCTGGCAGTCATTTCCATGATCTTATTTATTGTAATTATTTAATTAAGAGTAGGCTACTTTGGTTATTGGTATTTTAAATTTAATGTTATGTAAGTTATGGTATTCATTAAATGTAACTGAAACTCATGATTCAATGTTTCCTTTCTAGTGTTGTTAGAGAGATGAGTTAACCCTGCTGATGAGTTCTCTAAGGGAAGACCATGAATTGCTGCAGTCAACTGATACAATGGAGGTTGCAACTTCTAATGAGTTTATTGTGGCAAGCTCTCTGCCAGGGACATCAGATTCCAGCACTTTACTCTCAACACCTACTTTGTCAAATGTAGGAACATCAACTACAGACTCAATCAATTTTTTGACAGTACAAAATCAAAATGGGCAGTTGATTATCCAACAGCCCATAAAAACAACCAACAATGGGCCAACACTTGTTAATAATGGGGCGTCACTTCCCAAAGGCCACATTATTGTGCGACAAAAGCCTGTTGGAGGTGGACAGCAGTCGCTCTCAGCATCTAGCTCGGTGGGTGATGTTTTAACACTTGAGAAAGCAGGGATGAAGCGACCTCTGCCATCATCTGGCAGCAATGTCATAACAAAAGTGATAATAACAAAAAATCCCATATCGGGTCAGCCCCAAGCTCTACAAGCTGGGCCCCCTTCACAGACTTTTACCATCACAACTTTACCCAGCAGTGGGAGTGTAGCTGTAAATAGTCTAAGTGCTACTTCTGTGGTAAACCCCTCAGGTACTCCTACAAAAACCGTCACACTCACCTCCCAAGGTATTCTGTCACCAGTAAAAACTGTGATAGCTACTATTCCTAGTGCAGGTACATCAAAGCTAAATATCCCTTATAAAATACCTATATCCCCTTCGAAAGCGCCGACAAAAATTACAATGATTCCTGTAAGCAGGTCGCCCAATAAACAGGTCCTGAACCCCGCAAACATCACAGTATTGTCACGTGCACTTACCACTCTGGCACAGACTGGAAACGCTAAACCAGGATCACCATCTAAAGTTATCATCAAGCAAGGCCCAGCAGTGAGTTTTTTTTTAATACCTAAGAGCTATCACTTGCATAAAAGGTCCTTAAATTCAAGTTTCATTAAAATATTTATTTTTTTGACTTTTAACCTCCAGTGAACAGAAGCTCACTCATTCTTTACATTTGTACTTTTCTTAAACAAAACCTTAATGGTAAGGTTGGAAAGTGGGGGGAGAGTCATTTATCAACAATCACAAGTTTATTCTAATATTAAAATGAAACAAAAATTTTTTGACAAAATTAATTGATCTAATTGCTCTAACAAGAGTGTAATATTCCTAACTTTCTTGTTTTTTATAGCTTTAAACATAAAATTATAGCTGTATCAGTTTTAAAAAAGTCATTTGAAAGATGTTTGTAATGATCATGCAATTAGAACCTTTTTTATGAGTTCAGCTACTTTATTAACATTTTAGTTTATACATTTTTTTTGTAAACTGGAAACATACATCACTTATTTTCATTTTGACTGCATGTTTTCACAATTTGTATATTTAAAATAAATCTTATTCCAGCCCACAGGCTCTGCCATTACTTTAAAAAGCCAGTCCTTACCTAATTTGGCTCCACAAACAGCCCAACCAATTAGAACTGCTCAAGTTGTTCAAAGTATTCGTGGTCCAAATATAACACAGAATATCCGCCCAGTTGCAATCAGTAGTGCAGGCAATGTTCAGCAAATTCAGGTCCCCGGCAGTCGATTTCATTATGTTCGTTTGGTGTCCCCAGCTTCAGGTGCCAATTCCCAGACAACTACACTAACAGGTAATATTAGGGCTAATCCAGTTTAAGTTTTTAAACTATTTACTTTTTAATGTATGTTCTGATATACAGTTGATGGCTTAGGAACACTCAACAAAAAAATTTTTTTTGGATGATTAGAAGAATACTTAGGGTGAATTTTGAGTATCAATTTCTTTCAGCTGTATCAAAACCCATCACTGCAACATCTCAGCTGACACAATCTACAAAGGTAGTTCCAGTAACATCAGCTCCTCTTCCTACAAGCCATTTGAAAATTACCTTACCCATTCAACAAAATGCTACACTGGTGTGTATAGTCCACTGAAGTTATTAGTTTGACTTTTTAATGTTGTCAATATATTGTAAGATTAAATATACTAATTGCTGCTTAATAAAAAATTAAGCATATTTACATTGAAATTTTTTTTTACTACAGGCTCCAAAACCCAGCCTCTCTATTCCCATCACTGTCAACACACAGCCCAGTATGCACCGTATCATTCTCCCGGCTACATCAACCAATGTTACCCTTCAAGGCTCTACAGTCACGTCACTGGCTCCAATCCAGCCTGCACCTACTGTTTCTATACAGAATGTTAACCAGTTGCCTCCTGGCTCAGCAATCCTTTCTACAAATGCCACAAATATCCAGGGAATGCAAAGCTTTGCTATAGTTCCAGCACTAGTTCCTGCATCCTATGTTACACAGGTACTACCTTGATACTGTCTACTGACATTTGTTGTAACTTTTGTTGTCTTTCAGTGTTCTTTCTTTATACTTTGGCCATCAAACCTTGTAATGTTACAGATGCAACATCAGTTTATAAAGCCCCAGACAACACAAGCGGCAATAGCCCCTTCAGCCCCCAGACAGACCAGAGACTATGTCCCTATAGCCAGCATAGACCCAGCTGTCACTCAGTACACAGTTTCCAGGAATGCCCCAGCACAAAATGGGTAGGAACATTACTAGCATAAAAAAAATGTGTCTTATGACAGCTTTTTAAAACATTTAGTAGAAGCACAATCTTTGAGATGTGCCGTACTTAACAGTTAATTATACTAACAGTATTTTGTCAAAACAAAAATAGGTGCCCTTATTATGTTAGAGAAAGCTTTTTTCAAGATGATCAGATAATGTGATATTGTGAAATTCTAAGTATGTTTAAAAAAATAGTGTTAGCATTTAATTCTATTTTCAGACCAACATTAGAAGCCACTGGAGCAAGGCCAAGGAAACCCTGTAATTGTACAAAATCTCAGTGTTTAAAACTGTAAGTATCCTGTATTGGATAATTCTAACCACAATTTTTATTTTGTTAAGCTATACTTTTTAGTAATGCTTATGTTGAATTTTTTCCATAGATACTGTGATTGTTTTGCTAACGGAGAATTCTGTCAAAACTGTAACTGCACAAATTGTGCTAATAATTTGGAGCATGAGGAAGAGAGGTCAAAAGCCATTAAGTCTTGTTTAGACAGAAACCCTCAAGCTTTTCATCCAAAAATTGGTTGGTATATGTTCTTCTTCATGTATAGTAATGGCACCAAGAATTCTACTGCACCCAACACCAGCACTCATTCATCTTTGACATCACTATGTAAACATCCTTTTTACATCTAGCCTCACCTTGTTCCAAAACCCTAAACTAATTACATTTTATATTAGTATTTGCAAACTTTAGTTGATACTGCTTGCTGAAAACGAATGTATTTTATTTCCAATTTTTAATACTTACAGGTAAAGCAAAAGATGTTGAGGGTAACAGACGGCATACAAAAGGTTGTAATTGTAAACGATCAGGCTGCTTAAAAAATTATTGTGAATGTTATGAGGTAAGATTTGTACAGTAACTACATAGTGCCTTTTTAATTAGCCAGCTTAAAAGTTTGGGGAATACACTGCAACAAATTTTCTTTTTTCAGGCAAAAATTATGTGCTCAAATTTTTGCAAATGTATTGGGTGCAAAAACTTTGAAGAAAGTCCAGAACGAAAGACTTTGATGCACCTTGCAGATGCAGCTGAAGTGCGTGTACAGCAACAGACAGCAGCTAAGACCAAATTGTCCTCTCAGATTTCCTGCGTCCCATCAAGACCACCCACAACCCCGGCCAGTGGAGAACGGTAGGCAGTTAGTGTTGTTGTTTTTAATGGAAGCCACTACTAATTGTAGAATACCTCTACATATTTGTTTGTTTATTCCAGCCTGCCTTTTGCTTTGATAACTTCTGATGTCGCTGAGGCTACTTGTGCATGTTTACTGGCTCAAGCAGAAGAAGCTGAAAGGATGAAGATGCCAGCAGTTGTTCAAGAAAGAATGGTCATTGAAGAGTTTGGGCGCTGTCTTATGCAGATCATTGACTCTGCTAATAGAACAAGAAGTAATAACTTTTTTTGTTTATAAACTCGTAGATAATATAGATAAATATATCAGTGACAATTTTAAATCCAGTCAATACAAAGTAAACATTATTCATAGGTTAGCATGTAACATGAAATTGTTTTTAATTATTTTTTACTAATTTTAAATTTCCGAACATTTTAGCAACAAAGTCAGTGGCTTGAGAAAAGAATGAAACGACTGACTGAAATAAGCCATGAGGATCTGGTCATGGCAGTATACAGCATGAAGGTACCTGCATCCACTCAACTGGAACAGTAGCTCAACTACATGGACCTGTTTACCTACCTGTAGATCTTGCTCATTGCTACAACACAGTTTAGATGGAGATGTGGGAATATATGATGACCTCCTGTACTGAACATGAACCATAAGTCTCCACATACCAGACAGGTACCATTACAATTCCACTTAAGAGATGTGGCTAACTATGGGCCTGTTAGCTCTGATGTAAGTGATGTAACTATCTGATACACATTAGCAGTTTAAAATATCTTCTCCCTTTAAGCAACACAAGTTTCTGATAAAGGTTACAAGTTCATACTGTTTCCTTTATTGCTCTGCATTTTATAGTTAGTAGCATCAAAAAGTTGAGGATAACATAATTTTCTAAAAACAGAGCAATGCATTATTTCTATCTAATCAAGACATGATTATGAACTTGTATGGAAAGTGTGCATGGGTCATGAAGCCATAAAGAAATATTTAGGAATTTAATTTAGAATTGTAAATCAATATTTTTAAAATCATGTTTTCTATACAAAAAACTCTAACTGGTAATTTACAATACAATTGTTCAGAATAAAATTAGCTTAGTTGAGTTGAGCGTCCCAATAAAGAGGTTGCCAGTTTGGGTAGGAGAAGGGAAAGGTGACTCCTTGAAGAAACTGATTAACACATGATAATACTTGCATTAGACTAGACAGCAAGCAAACCACCCTGAATAGATCAGTTAAGTTGTGGATATAAGACTTTCTGTTGTACAATAGACACTCCTGTGTGTTTCATCTTTTAACACTTACACATTTTCTTATTCTCAGATGAATATGGTTATTTTTTTTTACCAGGAATGCTTGAAAATTTAATTTGTTAGTAATAGTTAAATCATCATTAGAAAAAAAATAGCTAGTATAGTCCATAGTAATATCTGCATTTTTTCTTACATAATTTTACATTATTTTAAACAAATACAGGTAGTACTGCTATAAAAATATTTAAAAAAAAAAGAAATTTGGTATATTTAGTTTTATTTAGTCTGAATGAGGTAATGAAAAGAACCTGATCTACCTCAGAGATTTATCTTTCCGAGTTACTAAAACACATTTGTAGTTAGATATAGTTTAGATGCAAAAAACATTGAAGAGCATTAGTAAATGTTATTTACTTCACACAAATTTGTATTGCACAGCACAAAAGTGCCATGATTGGTTTCAGTTTTCAAAAGTAAAAAAAATTTTGATTTAGGTAGTCATCTGTACTACCTATACTTGATATGTCTTATACAGCTGACTAATGGAGGCTGTCATTCAACATTCGAAATAAGGTGATAATTCACTATTCTTGTGCTGAGTCAAGTTAAGGCAAAGAAATAATTCTATATACGTGAAATAGTTGACGTTGGTGAGCACATGGATGTACATAATCACTGCTATGTGATTTACTCAATTAGAATATTGGTATCAATTGTATATTGACTTAGTTTTAATGAAATGATTATTTGTATAAACTAGCAATGATGGTAAAACTGAGACATTGTTTTAAAGTGTCCACTGCAGCATTGTGTCATCTCCTGTACATTTGTATGTATGTATGTCTTTTAAATGGTCAGATCATTAGTTGAGTCTTGTGCCACTGTGGGATGAGCTCTAAATTTTTAACCTTTGTAAGGTTAATTTTACTGCAGATTTTCATCAGCACATTTTGCTTACATATAAGCTTTTTGCCCTTATCAAGCTAATTTATTTTTGTCAATTTTAGGCATAACTAGTGAAGAGAGAATTTTTCTAGAACTCACTTGTTTCTCCTAAAGCTGCAGCTTTTGTTGTTCTAACAGAGATTGTTTACCCTATCAGTAGCCAGTTTTTTCAGAGCTTATTTGAAGCATTTTTTTTATCTGTTATACAGTTTGTTGCAGTATAGCAAATTTCTATTTACATGTTCATGCTAATAATATTGCAAAAAAAAGAATTAAATTAGATTTTATACACAAATTTTATTTTTACTTTCAAATAGAACAAAATTTTCAATCTTGGAATCTGAAAGCACACATTTTTTAGAAACCATGTTAGAATATGCTTTTGATTTTCACATAAAGTTTATGTGTCCCTTCTGCTAGAGAGCCATATATACACCATATAACACTTCATACTAAGTCCATTCTATGTAGGAGATTTTAGAGTAGAACATTGAAATTGTTTTTACTATTATTAAAAATTTATTATATGAGAATTGACTAAAATATATCAACAAGAAAATAATTTTTTGTAAAACTAAATATTTGAGATTAGTTCCAAACCAATGTACGAAAATCTGCTTTTCTTCAAGCTGTACAATTTTTAAAAAAACTGTTCAGCTTTGTTATAGAAAAAGCATATAGATCTAGGTGACTGCAGTCAGTATATTACTTTGATTGTTTTAGATAAGCACTTCCATAAAATCTAATTAAACAAAGTGAGCTTTAGTAAAAACCAATGTCTTCTTTTTAAAATGTTTATTTATTTGTAAATAGCTTAATTACTTTTATCCGCATCACCATGTACATAGTTTTTTTTCCATTGCAAAAGTTTTTAAAGACAATAATATATTTGTCATAATAAATTTGCTCTATATCACTACTCAGAATGTTTAAATAAAAACAAAATCAAATCTGTCTTTATTCATTTGGATATTTTTTGTAGAATTGCATCTTTGTCATCTAATTAAAAAAACTGAATTAAAAAGCTTCTAGAATAAAATAAGATGAAACATTTGCTTGATTTCTCTACAGCCTTTTCTGTTAACTGCACGTATAATTGATCATACCTTTTGTAACAAGATGAAATACAAATACCACCTTGATTGAATAATTCTAAACATGAAATTTGATCTGCCTACTTCCCCATTAGTGCCATCTGCATGTATTCCGTGTCCCCTTATCTTAAAATGCTAGGGGAAAGTGTTTGTCATTGACAGATTTGTGCTGCTTTATTTTGGCTTGTTTTTATTTCAAGAATTTTTACATGCCCTAAACATAAACACTAGTTGCTTTACAGTACACCTTGATTGACCTATTCAAATTTTAATTTAAATAGAAAATAGTGAATTATTTATCAATTTTTTCCCCCTAATTCTTGTACTTGATTGCTCCAGCAGCTGTGCTACCAGTCTTGTGATATGAGATGTTTTATTGTGGTAGTTGTAGCCAATCACACACTACTTGACTGTACCAAACAGTACATTCTCTACATGATTTCAGTTGGTGTACTTGTGTGCATGCTGTGCAGATGAAAGTTTACTGGTGTAGTTTAACGAATGCTCTATGTACTGTATGGAAGGGTCACTGTTATTCCCGGCTGTACTCATTCTTTCAATCCTGTTGTCTGATAGTAGCCCTACATGTGATGTGGTATGTCTATCAACATTCAGTTCACATCAGTGTTAGAGATTTGACCATAGTAGATTTGACCATAGCCTGATGTTCACATATCTAACCGTCTAGTGACAAATTAGTTCCACTATGTTAGGACTAGCCCCAGAAGGAAATTTCTCATCAGTGTTAGAGATTTGACCATAGCCTGATGTTCACATATCTAACAGTCTAGTGACAAATTAGTTCCACTGTTAGGACTAGCCCCAGAAGAAACCTTCAGCACTAGTGTAACAGTATCCAAGTGCCAGTGTTAGACAAAACCACAATCATGTAAGAGTGTACCCAAGTTGGTTATGTCAGCCCTTAAGAATATTCTATGCAAATGTTGAGTTGCTTCAAGCTGTTTGGTGTAGATGTATTTTTATTCCTTGTAAATTGTGTAATCAGCACTTGGTACAAGACTCATATTTTGACAAACTTACTTGTAATTATTTCAAATATTTTAATTGAAATTGTTAATTAAGAAGACAAATGAGCCCATTGATGATGTTTAAAAACTGTAGATTATTGTACATATTTCATTAGTGCTGCTATCTGGATGGTGTGTGCAATTGGTTGTGGAAAGCTACTAAAACAATGGTTGCTTTCTGCTATATTTCTAAGGTTAAACTTTGTATAAGACCAGTTTTAGCTGTATAACTTACCTACACATATATAAAAATAAACATTGTTTATATTAGCAAATTTTTACTAGAGGATTTGTTAAGAACTAGTTTGACAGTGGATGACAGAAAATAGGCAGGGCAAATGGTTGACATTCTTGTACTCTCTTGTGGGTGGTAACATGGGTTTTAAGTAATTTCCTGCTAAATTAGAGTAGCCTGCCTTATAATGTTTTACACTTGTGATGTCTTGCTCAGTGTGCATTAAAAATGCACTATTTAAGTGTGTCATGGTGTGGACAGTATATTGACCTGTATGTGACACTGTCACTATATTGACCTGTATGTGACACTGTCACTATATTGACCTATATGTGTAATATCCTGTATGTCTAGAGCAGTTGTTCTTACAACTTATTTTAATTTTGTTTCATGTGACTGAATAAATCTTGCATATAATAAACATGCCTACATTCCTTCGAGTGTTTTTGTTATTTTAATGTGCAAAGTTTGAATGTACTGTATATTTAATGTCAATAACTTTGTGTTAAGCTACACAAGTGGAATAGACTGCAGGCGGCTTTATTTTTGATGTCCTTAACTCTCACCCCATTAAAGCTGTCTATTCACCTTCTGTAGCTTTCAAGGATGTAACAGGTTGTTTTTATTTTTAGTACAATCGTCATCTTACCACCATAGCTGCATCCAGTCTTTCTCCCAGACTTTTTTTCTCCGGGGTGCACTTGAAACTTTTTCGGTGGGGGGGGGGGGGGGTGCCTGGAAGGAACTTGCTGAATCTTTGGAGGTTTTAGGATAAATGTTCAGCTTAGTTAAAAATTTATTCGGAAAACCTTTCCCAACGCTGGTGACTTAGTTGCATTCACCAGTTTAATACATTTTATACTTATAGTCTAAAGTTATTTTTTTATAAGGGGTCGTCCATAAATGACGTCACAATCGTGTGGGGGGGGGGGGGTCCGTAATTTTGTGACGGTGTGGGGAAGGGGGGGGGGGGTTCAGATGGTGACGTCACACTTTTGCATTATAAAAAAGCAATGCTAGAAAGCTAATTTAAGTCGTTGCGTTTTAGAAAACTTAATACATTATAATATAAATTGATTAAAACACTATGTTGACAGAGTTCAGATAAGATTTTGGAAAAATATCGATGTTTTAAGAAAAATTCAACTGCAATTTTGAGGGGGTTGTAGGCTGACGTGACGTAATTTTTTTTATAGGGGTTGGGGGGGGGGTCTGTTTTTCTGTGACGATGTGTGACGGAGGGAAGAGTTAAAAATGGTCCAAAAAAAGCGTGACGTTATTTATGGATGACCCCTAAAAATCACGACGATTATGTAGCTGCTGGATGTTTTTAGTACACACTACCACACATTTGGACAACTTCGCGAAACCAAACTTAAACAAGCAAGTAAGAATCTAGACTATTTTTTTTTTACTTGGTTGGCATCCGATGTTCCGACAGTAGATAACTTTAATGATTGTGTAGCCTTTATATATATATATATATATATATATATATATATATATATATATATATATATATATATATATATATATATATATATACGCACACACTTCCAAGTTTCATTGATTTGGTATCTTTCGTTAATACTGGCATGCAAAACAGCAAAGTGATATTTGGAGGAAAGTGGGCGTTATTACCCCAACACATGCGCGAACGGTGGGCGTCCCTGCTCTCTGTGTGGTTAGATTAGCAGGTGCACACCAAATACTTTCGGTTCAATAGCGTATTTACTTAGCAACCCTCCCATTGCGCATCTGTTCTGGGCATAACTGAGGCTCCACATAGCGCCCCCAATAGTGGTGGGCACTAGGCTTATACTAAAGAGTAAAAATGTGTGTCAAGGTTTTATTGTTTTAGAAAATGCATTTTGTTCGACAAATCACCACATTTTCACGCACCCTCTAAAATCTATATAATACGTATTCTAAGTCATCCCTGTTTTACCGTTCAAAATTTGATATTGAAAGAAAAAAAAAACTACAGCCCCCACCCCCTCCCTAATTCATCAAGACAAGGGTAGTGTGTTCATATCTGTGTTTACTTACACAAGTCGGATTGTCTAGACACGATGACACAAAAAGCCGTAAGCACGCCGCGCTGTTAAAAATACCAGTGACAACAAAGTTGACCTAATTTTAGGGACCGTAGTAGCGTAGCGGTGAGGACGCCAAGCTGTTAGCGACAAGAGCGGGGGGAGGCCACTCCTGTTGCTGATGTAAACAACGCTAGCAGCAGACGCCACGGCCGTCCTAGTCTATCATCATCATAGCTGTCACGTTGAAAACCATAGCCAAGGGTCATTTCAGGTGGGTGATTCTTGACCAGTTTTACCTGCATCGGTTTTGAAATGATTTTTAAAGCTTCGACCGACCATCAGTTAACACGTGTCGCCCTCTTCGCCACGCAACAGCCTTTAGGTAAGCCACGCTCAGTAAGCTTCGGGAATTTCCAAGTGCCGCTCCATTGTAACTGGTTTACATACCACGTACTGCAGCCTTCTCGGCCGGCCGCGCTGTGTGAGTGTGTGGGATACTAACAACATGACCTAAAACTTTACTTGCACATTACAAGCAGACCACGTGACTTTTACCGTTTGTTATCAGAGAAATCAAGAAGCGTTGAAAGTAAGTCAAGCAAGGGAGGCCACACATACGTCGCACAATACGTGGGCCATTCAATAGGTTGATTTTCCTCAGGTGCGGCACATAGGTGAAAAGGAATGTAAACCCTCTGTGAAGATGTGCAGTGGAGTTTAGCAGTTCAAACAGTGTTGGACATTGAAACGTGTGCTGATATTTCTTTGGCTATTTGGGATAGCTTGTGGATGTACTTATATTGATGATCTGGATAGTTTGTGAATATATTTCTAACAGTTGTGGATAGTGTGGATATAATCAATATATTTCTTGTAATAATTAGGAATTCCTTCATTCGTGTTTACTTTTCTAGACATTTCTTATATCGAGTAGGAGTTAACATTAGTGTAGATACTATTTAATTCTTATATGCCTATAGACAAAGACATTTTAATTTAAAAAGAAACATTAAGGATGTTTATTCAACACGTTTTTGAGAATGATCCCTTTAAATTGTTGTAGGCCTACTGAAGGCTTGCATGTTGTAATCAGCATCGTGTAATGTAGAAACACCGAGAAACAGTTGGCTGGATGTGTATCTAGGGTTGGGTTTTAGAGGGTTTCCTTCAGCCAAGGGCTCAGTTCGTTCAGTAGAATCTTGATCTTGTCAAAATAATTTGTACCTCAGCGTTGGCTGCTAACAGTAGCATGTCACATGAACATGGTCTTCACGCCGCGTCTGTCACCTGTTCATTATAAATTGTCTAGATATCCCTTTCATTACATCACCTCACCAGTCGGGGTACTAAACATTTTAATTACATCACACCTTTACTTTACTTTCATCTCTAACTTACACAGGTGTAAAATGTCACCTACGAACTGAAAAACACACATTTTCTAATCTCAGGTATCAAGTTTACTTTTATCGATTTCTCACATTAATCGATCATAAATCAATAACATCGACCAGCGAGATCGACTTCCTTGATTGTTCAGACACAACTTAGGAAAAAGTGTCAACTTTAAGAAAACTGTGCTGAATTATCGCCCCTTTTGGGTAGAGCTATACAAATATTTCTCGATGGGCGATCGTATATAGTTTCCACGGCAATTTGTTTTAATTTACTTTTATTTTTCAAATTTTAAGATTAAATAACTTTTTTTTGACAATTGGTAAAAGATTATTTTACCTACATATTAAAAAAAGGTTTACGGTATCTACTTATAGAACACACCATAGTTTAATTATATAAAACAGATCTATAATAGACTAATTGTCATTAACAGGTATTTTAACTGGAAAAGTCGTCGCATAGTATGGGTTGAATTATCCACCATATGTATACAACATATTATTTAGTATGAGGCTATAGAACATGATCAGCTGACCATGTAAACAAACAACTGTTTAAACTTTGTACAACGGATGCTTGAACTCAGGGGACACAAGCGAGGATTTCATCATGTGTATAAATAACTGACCCCGGCAGACATGGGGCTCTGCTTCAGCCTTGACCAAGAAGAAGAGAAGGCACGTGCCAGGAGCGTCGCCATTGACCAAAAGTTGAGGAAGTGGGCCAAGGAAGATGAAAACGTCATCAACATACTTCTGCTGGGTGAGTACGCCCTTGTTCATGTTTTTATACCCAGTGCCTCCGGGGGGGGGGGGGGGGGCACCTTGCCCCTTCAAAAGTATCTATGGGTTTGGGTCGAAGTGGTGACGGTCTCTCAGAAATAGACAAATAGACCATTCTGAGACTTGTGCAATAAAATTAAATCCTCTCCAATCTCCACGCTCAGAAATGTGTAGTGCATAATTTTTGTGTACACGAGTCAAATCTTTGGAGCAGTTTGTTTACACACGATCGGTTTGACTCTAGGTGTACACACTTGCCAAGTTTGGACTCTGGTCATTAGTTTTTGCAACTTGCATATTGGAAACATCTTTCCCATTCTGTTGATTTTCTCAGCGTTTCCATGCTTTGATGAGCCCTTCACCACACTCGACCAATTCTTGCTCTAGTTCAGCTAATCCTGAACAATTAGCCAAACCCTGAAGTATCTGCTCTGGCTAATCCTTATGTTAAAATCAATACAACAAAAAAAATGAACATGTAGCCGGTAGCGCTGTGTGGCTAAGGTGCAAATAACCGGGGCTTTCTTGTACAGTGGCTAAATCTGGGAGGATCCGTTTGTCTTGTTGTAGTAGATGTTTCTTACTGCAGGCTAGATAACGCGTTGATGTGCACCAGTAGTAGTCAATATAAAACACTGCGAAGGTTGTGGACACACACGAACATTGGTGTTTATTTATGTTTTATCTCGCCTCTCATCTTTTTAACATAGCTTTATTTACATCCGGGGTTTTCTCTGTTTCCTGGTTGTTTTTTTTTTAAAATTTACCATTCTCCTGTTGACTTTAAACACAGTTCTAATTTAAGAAGGTTGAAGAAAAAACAAACAGCATTTCATTTTTAACTCAAGGTCCACCCCACCATGTCACCACCCCACCCTCCCATGTCACCACCCCACCCTCCCATGTCACCACCCCACCGTCCCATGTCACCACCCCACCTTCCCATGTCACCACCCCACCGTCCCATGTCACCACCCCACCCTCCCATGTCACCACCCCACCCTCCCATGTCACCACCCCACCCTCCCATGTCACCACCCCACCCTCCAATTATGTCACCACCCCACCCTCCAATTTCACCACCCCACCATGTCACCACCCCACCATGTCACCACCCCACCATGTCCCTACCCTCCCCTAGAACCTACACCCCCCTGGTTCCCACAGTTCCCCGTGTGTCGTGTCATCTGACTCAGGTTTCCGTGACGAGCTATAACGACTAATTTCCCACCCACCCACCCCCTCTGACATTTTAATGCTTGACATGTCAATTGCTCGTGTACTAGTGCTACACCTCTTGAGGGTGGGGGATGCAGTGGTGTAGCTATATACCTCGACGCCTAGGTCGTACTCTCGATATATATATATATATATATATATATATATATATATATATATATATATATATATATATATATATATATATATATATATATATATATATGGCTCATCTTTGTGGTCCTCCCCACCTTTTCACTAAGGTCCATTTATGTGAAATTTCCCCTCACATCCGTCATGATGGCCCATCTATGTGAAGGTTTCCACTCCCCCCACCATTGTCTCGATGGTAATCTCCCCTCATTTCCCTCCACTTGGTGAATGTAAAACTAGGCTTCGAATCTTTGGAAACCTCCCTAACTACACGTCCAAGATCTTTCTACGCCGCTTTACATAGCTAGACAATTGATGTATTGTATTCAGGTATTTCCAGGTATTTATTTCACCTGCTCTGCTGACCTCATGCATAATTCATCGCGTGATCGCCTCCCTGTCGAACGGCTATGTAGCGTGACGTGCAAGCCCGCGTTGTTTTGGCTGGCTATCACCATTTTCATGTCACCACCACCATGTCACCATCAGCATGTCACCAGCTGCATGTCACCATCAGCATGTCACCATTACCATGTCACCATCTGCATGTCACCATCAGCATGTCACCATTACCATGTCACCATCTGCATGTCACCATCAGCATGTCACCATTACCATGTCACCATCTCCATGTCTATTATAGCCATGTTTGTGATGTCAGCCATTGTTGAACTTAAGTTAGCCTTGCTGTTGTCTAGACCAGATATTTTATTAGCGATTTAAAGAAAGCCGCTTGCTTTATTGACATTTAATTTAATTTATATTAGAACAGCTGAACTGAAAAGTTCACTTTTTCTTCCTTATCATCGCTGTTCATACCCAGTCTTAAAATAAACGTAGAAAGTCCGTTCTGAAAAGGAATTTCCTGCTACACGGAAATGCCACGCCCACATTGTTTTGTGACGGGCCTACCGCTGGGTATGTGGGCAGTAAATCACACGAACCTATCGCTGAACATAAACGATCGATCTCCCATGTCTGATTTAAGTGGGCGACGATTGGACCGATCAAGATTTACTGATCCGCGATCGCTGAATTCTGGGACATGAAAGCCACTTGTTTTTTTAAAAATAAGACGGTAGTTTGGATCAGACACCAGACCGGTGGGGGGGGGGGGGAAATCGGGCACCAGACCGACGGGTGGATCAGGCGCCTGAGCGGCGAGATTTTGGTGCAGCAGTAAATCTATGTCGCTTCTTGTCTACATCTTCAAACCGTACAGGAAATGTTGTGTTAGAAACTCCAGGGGCTCAGATCTATAAAAATTACATTAGGTTGTTTTAAAAATTTAAAACAAAAATTTCTGAACGTGACGCCGTTGCGTCAGGTCTCTGGCTTCAGAAGTGTCGAGTCTGCGCATGTCCGGATAAAATACTCGCACGAAACTTTCCGAGTGAGTTAATTTTTAAACATCCTCAGCTAGTGGCAAACATCTTGAAACACGGATGTTGGTTGTTACACCTTCCTTACAGACCTAACTGGCTACATCTCTGGTCGACTTGAGCGTTCGGGGCGGTGGGTAACGTAAAACATGATGTAGAAGTAAATGATATATTATGTTGAAGAAGTAAATGATGACACATGATGGAGCCGGGGATGATAACTTATGATGTCGCAGGAAATGATGACACATGATGGAGCCGGGGATGATAACTTATGATGTCGCAGGAAATGATGACACATGATGGAGCCGGGGATGATAACTTATGATGTGCTGTCCTAGCGGAACAAACGTGACAACTAAACCGGTGTAGAACAAAACAAAGAGTCGAACAAGATATTTGTTTTCATGTTGTATTCGAATAGGTCCTATTTATTTACTTCCTTTTCATATCGTATTCGATTCTTACATTTTCTTCATTGTCATACTGTATTCGAAGTTTTACTATTTAATTCAATAAGAGTTTTTTCTTTATTGTCAAAATGTGTTCGGATTATTCATTTTATTCATTGCACAGCCATTTGAACCGCCATCGTTTAATCTTGCTGTAAGACCAATTGTAAAGATCTATTAGAGCTCTCATGTACACATGATAGAAAATTGTCGGTAAAACCAAATATCTAGAGCAAACAATGACATGTTTTAGATGTCCCCGTCAGCCAGGTACTTGCTGCTGTATTTGGTTTTCTTTCCACCGTGCAGACGACAGAGTACACCTGGAGTACACCTTTCTTATCTCTGCTGACGCAGACGACCCGAGCATTAGCTGACGTCATTTGTTAGTTATTTGAAGATCGTATTGAACTGGGTCAAGCAGGCTTATGCTGAATTCTATAAGTAGATCTCGTTCGTCATACAACTGTAGACGGGAGCGGACCCAGTCATTTCATACAGCACGTCAATCGTTTTTTGATACACTCGTTCATGTGTTATGGTTTTAGTTTAACTCGTTGATCAGGGGGTAAAGAATACAAGATGGTGATGGTTTTAGGCTAGACTTGACTGTAGGCAAACATTGCCTTTTATTAAACTAGTACAGCCTAAATTGTAGGCAAACATTGACTATTATTAAACTAGCACAGCCTAAATTGTAGGCAAACATTGCCTATTATTAAACTAGCACAGCCTAAATTGTAGGCAAACATTGCCTATGTTATAGCCTTCCCAATAAGCCCATATCTGACACGATTCGCTCCATATTTTTAAACATTTGAACTACTACAGTTATGTAAGCCAGCAAATAGGTCCAGGTTGACTTGGTTTCCCCCACCCCCCTCCCCCCTGATTTTGTATTTGCGCAATTGGAACAACTGACGGGTATTTAGAGACGAACGACACCATTGTGAGCGTGAAACTACTTGAATACAACTGCATTCAGTCTACTGATTCCCACGCCTGCTAAGATTGGGAGGGAGGGGCGGATAAATTATTAGTAAATTATAGGGGAGGGGGTGGATAAATTATAAGTAAATTATAGGGGAGGGGGGGTGGATAAATTATAAGTAAAATATTGGGGGGGGGGGTGTATCCCTTCTTGGCTGAGGTCATTGTACCTGTATGTGGATGAAGTCGGATGATATAGAATCACAGTTTTCAGTGGACTCAAATTTTCGATTAATTTTAGGACAATTTTAGAGACTCAGTTAATGGAGTAGGTTGGGTCATTTTGTATTGGTAACAAGGAGGAATTGAAACATTATAAGAAAGAAATAGAAAACTAACTCAGCCAACGTCTCCGTCACACTGGTCACGTGGGGCTGGTCACGTGAGGCTAGAAGAGATTTGTTGACACTGACCTCCCACTGTCACTATTGCATAATGGTGTTAATCCAACTGGACACACGGCGAGTGTCCGTGTTAATCCCACTGGACGGCAAGTGTCCATGTTAATCTCACTGGACACACGGAAAGTGTCCGTGTTAATCCTACTGGACGGCAAGTGTCCGTGTTAATCCAACTGGACACACGGCGAGTGTCCGTGTTAATCCCACTGGACGGCAAGTGTCCATGTTAATCTCACTGGACACACGGAAAGTGTCCGTGTTAATCCTACTGGACGGCAAGTGTCCGTGTTAATCCTACTGGACACACGGCAAGTGTCCGTGTTAATCCAACTGGACACCCGGAAAGTGTCCGTGTTAATCCAACTGGACACACGGCAAGTGTCCGTCCTAATCCCACTGGACACACGGCAAGTGTCAGTGTTAATCCAAGTGGACACACGGCAAGTGTCCGTGTTAATCCCACTAGACACACGGCAAGTGTCCGTGTTAATCCCACTGGACACACGGCAAGTGTCCGTGTTAATCCCACTGGACACACGGCAAGTGTCCGTGTTAATCCCACTGGACACAGGGCAAGTGTCCGTGTTAATCCCACTAGACACACGGCAAGTGTCCGTGTTAATCCAACCGGACACACGGCAAGTGTCCGTGTTAATCCCACTGGACGGCAAGTGTCCGTGTTAATCCCACTAGACACACGGCAAGTGTCCGTGTTAATCCCACTAGACACACGGCAAGTGTCCGAGTAATCCCACTGGACACACGGCAAGTGTCCGTGTTAATCCCACTAGACACACGGCAAGTGTCCGTGTTAATCCAACTAGACACACGGCATGTGTCCGTGTTAATCCCACTAGACACACGGCAAGTGTTCTGTCTTTGTGGTCCCACTACAGGGTTACTACAAGTGATCTCAAAAGATGAGTTTAGACCCCAGGTGCTACAAGTGTGTGGACAGAGTTGCCGTATCGACAATGTATAGGCTAGACTGCTAGACGGGTGTATGGGTATAGGCTAGACGGTTGTATGGATATAGGCTAGACGGTTGTATGGATATAGGCTAGATGGTTGTATGGATATAGGCTAGACGGTTGTATGGATATAGGCTAGATGGTTGTATGGATATAGGCTAGACGGTTGTATGGATATAGGCTAGATGGTTGTATGGATATAGGCTAGACGGTTGTATGGATATGGGCTAGACGGTTGTATGGATATAGGCTAGACGGGTGTATGGGTATAGGCTAGACGGTTGTATGGATATAGGCTAGACGGTTGTATGGATATAGGCTAGATGGTTGTATGGATATAGGCTAGACGGTTGTATGGATATAGGCTAGATGGTTGTATGGATATAGGCTAGACGGTTGTATGGATATGGGCTAGACGGTTGTATGGATATAGGCTAGACGGTTGTATGGATATAGGCTAGACGGTTGTATGGATATGGGCTAGACGGTTGTATGGATATAGGCTAGACGGGTGTATGGATATAGGCTAGACGGTTGTATGGATATAGGCTAGACGGGTGTATGGATATAGGCTAGACGGTTGTATGGATATAGGCTAGACGGTTGTATGGATATAGGCTAGACGGGTGTATGGATATAGGCTAGACGGTTGTATGGATATAGGCTAGACGGTTGTATGGATATAGGCCAGTCGGGTGTATGGATATAGGCTAGACGGTTGTATGGATATAGGCCAGACGGTTGTATGGATATAGGCTAGACGGGTGTATGGATATAGGCTAGACGGTTGTATGGATATGGGCTAGACGGTTGTATGGATATGGGCTAGACAGGTGTATGGATATAGGCTAGAAGGTTGTATGGATATAGGCTAGACGGTTGTATGGATATAGGCGAGACGGGTGTATGGATATAGGATAGACAGTTGTATGGATATAGGATAGACAGTTGTATGGATATAGGCTAGACGGTTGTATGGATATAGGCGAGACGGGTGTATGGATATAGGATAGACAGTTGTATGGATATAGGATAGACAGGTGTATGGATATAGGCTAGACGGTTGTATGGATATAGGCTAGACGGTTGTATGGATATAGGCTAGACGGGTGTATGGACATAGGCTAGACGGTTGTATGGATATAGGCTAGACGGGTGTATGGATATAGGCTAGACGGTTGTATGGATATGGGCTAGAAGATTGTATGGATATCTAGACGGTTGTATGGATATAGGTTTAACAATTCTACGTGAAAGAAAATACCACAAGTGATTACACCAACCGCCCCCCCCCCCCCACACAACACACATACACTGCACCTTTATTTATTACTGAGCAATAAAATGTCCCGAAGTCTTCACATCTCAGTAAATTTGCTACCTCCCCCTCCCAACACACCCTCTATAATTTGATTTTAACTTGGTACTTTGTGTCCTACATTACATTTTTTAAAATAGATCCGCAGTTATTTAATAACTCGGAAATATGTCACGGTCTATTTCCCACAGCTAAACTAAAACATCTCATATGGGTTAGGTTACTGCAGGTATTATATAACGAAATGTATGAAATTATGAACCACCTATTACATCATAAAATTATATTAAAAAATCCATGGCTATCTACCATATTGTAGAGTATATAACATTTCTAGATGATGACACCACCAGTGTTAAGGTGTTCAATGGACGACACCATCAATGTTAAAGGTGTTTAATGAATGACACCACCAATGTTGAAGATGTTCAATGTATAACACCACCAATGTTAAAGGTGTTCAATGAATGACACCATCACTGTTTAAGGTGTTCAATGAATGATACCACCAATGTTGATCTACCAGGATTAACCTGTAGACATTCATCAGCTCCGTCAACGAGACAGCTAACTACATATGTAAATAACTTGCCTAATCGCATTATTCTCCGGTTACTTCCCTTTCTGTTGCGCGGTTTTGTCCCTGGAAAACCATCCAACTCGAGAGACGAGTCTACAGTGACCTACATAATTGGGTATTAATAGCCCACACCGTGCCAGAACACAGCGGGGTGCATCAAATGTCCACTCCAGGTTTTGTTACAGGCCAAGTGACAGGGTATTGTTGCCCCCCCCCCCCCCCCCCCCCCAGCTCTCGACTGTGTCAAATTGTTTACACTAGGCTGGAAGTTTAAAGAGTTGCCATGGCAACGATTAGGCCTGTTCCGGGTTGTTTCCTTTAAAGATCTTAATAAAATAATAGCTGGCTTGTGTTTTTTTTTAATCTCTAGTATCTTTATGTGGTTAAATTATTGGACAGTATTGACAAATTAAAAAATAAACAATTATGTTCAGGTCTACAACAGTATGTCAGACAGAAACTACACCCAAGTAGAACAGAAATAATTTAGTCCCATACATTCCTCTATACAGTATGTCAGACAGAAACTACACCCAAGTTGAACAGAAAAGAAATCATTTAGTCCCCTACATTCCTCTATATTTTTCTAACGTTATTGTCTCCCTTTTTGTATAAAGGAAAAAACACCTTGAAAAACAACAATGAATACAAGCCTATCAGCTCACACCATCCTTAATTACCCCCATCAACAATGTTGATTGTTATCAGTCTAAGTGCTGTTAGCTTGAGGCTATCTCTGTGACTTAGGGACATATTTTTGAATGACTGTGACAAAGACAGTTAAATTCAGCTATTCTATCACATCTGAAAAACCTGATCTACCTGTATATTCCATGACCCACCTGATATATTACATGACCCACCTGATCTATCTGTATATTCCATGACCCACCTGATCTATCTATATATTCCATGACGCACCTGATATATTAAATGACCCACCTAATCTACCTGTATATTCCATGACCCACTTGATATATAACATGACCCACCTGATCTACCTGTATATTACATGACCCACCTGATCTACCTGTATATTCCATGACCTACCTGATATATTCCATGACCCACCTGATCTACCTGATATATTCCATGACCCACCTGATATATTCCATGACCTACCTGATCTACCTGTATATTCCATGACTTACCTGATCTACCTGTATATTCCATGACCCACCTGATGTACCTGTATATTACATGACCCACCTGATGTACCTGTATATTACATGACCAACCTGATCAACCTGTATAAACCATGACCCACCTGTATATTCCATGACCCACCTGATCAACCTGTATAAACCATGACCCACCTGTATATTCCATGACCCACCTCATGTACCTGTATAAACCATGACCCACCTCTGTATGTACCCACAGGTGCGGCGGAGGGAGGAAAGAGTACGCTGGTCAAACAGATGAAGATCATACACCATGATGGTTTCTCTTATGAGGAGCTCATGTCATTCAGGGTAAGTTGTATCAAGTTTTACATTTTTAGGTACACACCTTCTAACTGCCATCTCCTGAATTATTGTGTCTGACTCAAAATGTTTCCCAGAAATTATTGAGGTTGTCTCCCCTTACTCGGGCAGAGATAACTCCAAAATTAAAACAACTGCTGCCTTGTAGTTAGTTCTTGGTTGGACAAAAGCTATGGAAGCAAATCCAAAAAGAAAAAGCAGGCTGAAATCAGAGTCAATGGCCTCAATGGCGCATAACCAGTTGACACATATACTTAATTGGGTTGGAGGGTCAGGGAATCCCTCCCAACACTAAAATTAAGAACGAAGTTTCCCCTTAAAGAAATGAGTTTTTCCCCCTTTGAATGATTGCGACTTTTACCCATCAATAATTGATCATGTATCCACCAATGATCAATCATGTATCCACCAATGATCCACCATGTATCCACTAATGATTGATCATGTATCCACCAATGATCCATCATGTATCCACCAATGATCCACCATGTATCTACCAATGATTGATCATGTATCCACCAATGATCCACCATGTATCCACCAATGATCCACCATGTATCCACCACTGATCCACCATGTATCACCAATGATCCACCATGTATCCACCAATGATCCACCATTGATCCACCAATGATCCACCATGTATCCACCACTGATCCACCATGTATCCACCATGTATCCACCAATGATCCACCAATGACCCACCATGTATCCACCAATGATCCACCATGTATCCACCAATAATCCACCATGTATCCACCGTCCCCAGCCTGCTGTACTGGAGAACCTGGTCAGCTCAATGAAGTTTGTGCTCAGTGGGATGGGGCTATTGAGGATCAACTTAGAGAAGGCCAACAACAAGGTACAGTTGATGTAGTAGGGGTTGGTACAGTAGGGCGTTGGTACAGTAGAGGGTTGGTACAGTAGAGGGTTGGTACAGTAGGGGGTTGGTACAGTAGGGGGTTGGTACAGTAGGGGGTTGGTACAGTAGGGGGTTGGTACAGTAGGGGGTTTGGTACAGTAGAGGGTTGGTACAGTAGAGGGTTGGTACAGTAGGGGGTTGGTACAGTAGGGGGTTGGTACAGCAGGGGGTTGGTACAGTAGAGGGTTGGTACAGTAGAGGGTTGAAACAGTAGGGGGTTGGTACAGTGGAGGGTTGGTACAGTAGGGGGTTGGTACAGTAGGGGGTTGGTACAGTAGGGGGTTGGTACAGCAGGGGGTTTGGTACAGTAGAGGGTTGGTACAGTAGAGGGTTGGTACAGTAGGGGGTTGGTACAGTAGGGGGTTGGTACAGCAGGGGGTTTGGTACAGTAGAGGGTTGGTACAGTAGAGGGTTGGTACAGTAGGGGGTTGGTACAGTAGGGGTTGGTACAGTAGAGGGTTGGTACAGTAGAGGGTTGGTACAGTAGGGGTTGGTACAGTAGGGGGTTGGTACAGTAGAGGGTTGGTACAGTAGGGGGTTTGGTACAGTAGGGGGGGTGGTAGGGGGTTGGTACAGCAGGGGGTTGGTACAGTAGGGGGTTGGTACAGTAGGGGGTTGGTACAGTAGAGGGTTGGTACAGTAGGGGGTTGGTACAGTAGGGGGTTGGTACAGTAGGGGGGGTGGTAGGGGGTTGGTACAGCAGGGGGTTGAGGATCAACTTAGAGAAGGCCAACAACAAGGTACAGTTGATATAGTAGGGGGTTGGTACAGTAGAGGGTTGGTACAGTAGGTGGTTGGTACAATAAGGGTTGGTACAGTAGGGGGTTGGTACAGTAGGGGGTTGGTACAGTTGGGGGTTGGTACAGTAGATGGTTGGTACAGCAGGGGGTTGGTACAGTAGAGGGTTGGTACAATAGAGGGTTGGTACAGTAGAGGGTTGGTACAGTAGGGGGTTGGTACATTAGGGGGTTGGTACAGTAGGGGGTTGGTACGGTAGGGGGTTGGTACAGCAGGGGGTTGGTACAGTAGAGGGTTGGTACAATAGAGGGTTAACACAGTAGAGGGTTGGTACAGTAGGGGGTTGGTACAGTAGGGGGTTGGTACAGTAGGGGGTTGGTACGGTAGGGGGTTGGTACAGCAGGGGGTTGGTACAGTAGAGGGTTGGTACAATAGAGGGTTGGTACAGTAGGGGGTTGGTACAGTAGAGTGTTGGTACAGCAGCGGGTTGGTACAGTAGGAGGTTGGTACAGTAGGGGGTTGGTACAGTACGTGGTTGGTACAGTAGGGGGTTGGTACAGTAGGGGTTGGTACAGTAAAGGGTTGGTACAGTAGGGGGTTGGTACAGTAGCTGGTTGGTACAATAGGGGGTTGGTACAGTAGGGGGTTGGTACAGTTGGTGGTTGGTACAGTAGAGGGTTGGTACAGTAGAGGGTTGGTACAGTAGAGGGTTGGTACAGTAGAGGGTTGGTACAGTAGGGGGTTGGTACAGTAGGGGGTTGGTACAGTAGGGGTTGGTACAGTAGGGGGTTGGTACAGTAGGGGGTTGGTACAGTAGGGAGATGGGGCTGTTGAGGATCAACTTAGAGAAGGCCAACAACAAGGTACAGTTGATATAGTAGGGGGTTGGTACAGTAGAGGGTTGGTACAGTAGGGGTTGGTACAGTAGAGGTTGGTACAGTAGGGGGTTGGTACAGTAGGGGGTTGGTACAGTAGGGAGATGGGGCTGTTGAGGATCAACTTAGAGAAGGCCAACAACAAGGTACAGTTGGTACAGTAGGAGGTTGATATAATTTTATTGGTTGATACAATTTAGGCGGTTGATACACACACTAGCAGGTTGATTCAAAAATTAACAGATAACATTACACCAACTGGTTGATACGTAGAAAGTCGTATACGAGGTAATCTGGCGTAAAACTCCGGTCCATTAAAATCTCAGCCATCATGTACATTGATATCTACCTCCACTCTAAAGCTGCAACTAATTCTCTGCGTCACTTACCCTGAATCACCCCCGCCCAGCCCGCTTATATATCAATGTTAGTGTACATCGTGTCACGTGGCAAGATGTTAGTGTACATCGTGCCACGTGGCAAAATGCTGCTGGTCTGTTGTACCCGCCGCTGTGTTCAGTCAGCCGGAGAGATGATCTATACATCCTAGTAGTCGCGGACCACGTTACCGGCTGTGTTCGTGGATCACGTTACCGGCTGTGTTCGTGGATCACGTCATCCATGTCGCCATGGCTGACCAAAAAGTCAAAATCTGTCAGGTACCCGCCCGACGGCAGGTAATGTAAGCGGTTTAGGGGAGGTAACCTATATGACGGTAACAGGGTGTAAGGGAGATAATTATATGACGGTAACATGGGATAAGGGATGATGTACGCAATGCTTATCTTTCAGAGCTGAAGTTTATATTAGGGCAGATGAAGTAGAGTTTACATTTTCGCCTATAACATAGAGTTGGTTATTGATCAGTGTAAGGCCCAGTTCCTTCTATTTTCCCCGATATGAGGCAGGTACACATTACAGCTGATAGAAAAAGTAGCCGCCGGTGATAATACATCTCTGTTTCTCAAACGCAAAAATTTACAGTTGAATTTTTTTTAAATAAGTAAAATCAAACAATACAACAACGAAGTGTTTGTGTACTCGTGTAGGCACACGTCACAAAATACAAGCACAATAAAATGATGTCTCAAAATGACACGAGCACACAATACAAGTAAAATAAATGAACAAAGTGTTTGTGTCCCTTCTTTAGGCGCACGTCCACACAATACAAGTAAAATAAAATAACAAAGTGTTTATCTCCCTTCTTTAGGCGCACGTCCACACAATACAAGTAAAATAAAATAACAAAGTGTTTATCTCCCTTCTTTAGGCGCACGTCCACACAATACAAGTAAAATAAAATAACAAAGTGTTTATCTCCCTTCTTTAGGCGCACGTCCACACAATACAAGTAAAATAAAATAACAAGTGTTTGTCTCCCTTCTTTAGGCGCACGTCCACACAATACAAGTAAAATAAAATAACAAGTGTTTGTCTCCCTTCTTTAGGCCCACGTCCACACCATCCTGTCGAGTCAGTGCTGCTATGACGAGGAGAGCCTGATGCTCGTCCACATCTACGAGTCCCTGAGGAATCTGTGGCGGGACCGTGGGGTCAAGGCCGCCGTGGCTCGAGGCTACGAGTACGAGCTCAACGACTCGGCCATCTAGTAAGTCACGTGATGCCCGTCTCATGTGACGTAGACTGTGTTCCATGTTAGTTCATGTGTTCAATGTTGTTTACCCAAAATAAACTGCACCGTGTCAAAAATCTTGTGCCCTAACAGTGTTAAGAAACTATTTTCTCTTTACACCATACATCGCATAAAAATGATCTATATGCTCAGAACATCATAAATATAGGCTGTAGTATATATAAGTCAGTCATTAAAAGAACTGAATTGAACTTGCTACACATGTTCGACAACTTATTTTGTTTACTAATTTAATCAATTACTTCCCTTGCATACAGCTACTTTGAAAACATGGAGAGGATTTGTTCTTTGAAGTATGTGCCGACGCCCACCGATGTTTTGAGGGCGAGGGTTCGAACCACAGGTGTCATCGAGACCTGGTTTAAGGTGGAGAGTATTATGATCAGGTACATCTAATTAATCTAATTAGGTAAATCTAATTAAAGTCAAGAGTATTATGATCAAGTAAATCTAAATAAAGTCCTGAAAATAATGATCAGGTAAATCTAATTACAGGTAGAGAATTGGTAAACGAGGTAAATTTAATTTAAATTTAATTTTTAAAAATTCTTTTTTAAAAATGATTATTATTTATATATAGTTAAACAAAATTCACTAGCTTAACTAACATAATATTTTTTTTTCTGGCCAGAATGTATGACGTTGGGGGTCAGAGGTCAGAAAGAAGGAAATGGATCCAGTGTTTTGATCACGTGAAGTGTGTTCTGTTTGTGGTGGCCATCAGCGCTTATGATATGTGTCTTATAGAGGACCCTGCTGTGGTAAGTTGGTCCAATATGTCATGTGTCATTTGTCAGGACACCCCCCGGGTGGTAGGTTGGTCCATTATGTCATGTGTCATTTGTCAGCCCCCCCCCCCCCCCCAGTGGTAGGCTGGTCCAATATGTCATGTGTCTTATAGAGGACTGCACAGTGGTAGGTTGGTCCATTATGTCATGTGTCAGGACCGCACAGTGGTAGGTTGGTCCATTATGTCATGTGTCAGGACCGCACAGTGGTAGGTTGGTCCATTATGTCATGTGTCATCTGTCAGCACCCCACAGTGGTAGGTTGGTCCATTATGTCATGTGTCATCTGTCAGGACCCCCCCCCCCCCCCCCGGGTGGTAGGTTAGTCCATTATGTCATGTGTCCATATCGAAATTAGCTGGCAACATTTAATTTATCATGTATGTCTGTGACTGCATCACCTTGTATTTCAATTCTATCATCTATAAGCCTACACGAATTTATAAAACTTATTATGTTTTTCCCCAGAACCGCCTGGAAGAAAGTTTGAAACTTTTTAGCCAAATCTGCAACAACAGATTCTTTGTGCGCAGTACCATGGTAAGTTTGACCAGACTTTTGTCTGTACCATGGTCAGTTCCACCAGACTGTACCATGGTCAGTTTCACCTGACTGTACCATGGTAAGTTTGACCAGACTGTACCATGGTCAGTTCCATCAGACTGTACCATGGTAAGTTCCACCAGACTGTACCATGGTCAGTTTAACCAGACTGTACCATGGTCAGTTTCACCAACTGCCATCACCTACCCTTCTTGGAGGTGTGTATTCTTCAAAGACAGATTTCTTGCAAGAAGCTAAACCATGTAGTTTTCAATCTTGCGGTGTTCATCAAATATTGTTTACAGTTAAAAAAATAATTTAAACAGAAGACAGACTGAGACTGTTTTGTTAACTGCAAGATGTGTTAGTTTCATGTAAACACTGTAGGTGTTGTATGTAATGTTTTAGCCATTTAGCTGTTGTGATAAAACCTCCTTTTTGTTTATTTTCAGATTTTGTTTCTTAACAAGCTAGACCTGTTTCAGGACAAAATAAAATACTCAAAAAGACATCTGCGATACTTTTTTCCTGATTTTTCAGGTTTGTGTAACTGCACATTCGAATTTAAAAAAATTAAAACTTACTGTTAACTCTTGTTTATGTTTTAACTGTTGTTTTTGTGTTGTGTTGGTACTGTTCTTTGTGTTCCTTTATAAGATTTTTTTTCCTGTTCTAAATGTTAGGTAGCTCTAAACAGTATTTTCTTGTTGTATCCCATCAACTCTCTAGTCTCCCCTTGTACACAATGTAAAAAAAATGTCAACTTTGTATGCTAATTTTGTTCTCCCCCCCCCCCCCCCCAACAGGGCCAGATAAAGATGTCGACGCAGCAGCCCGCTACATCCAGCATCTGTTCTTGATGCAAGTCTCAAGTCCCTCCAAAGTTGTCTACCCTCACTTCACCACCGCTACTGATACAACCAACATACAAGTCGTCTTCCAGGTGCTCATGGACTCCATACTAAGGGACAACTTAAAGGGCACGTCACTCTTGTAGCAGTCAGTGGTCTCAAAGGGCACGTCACTCTTGTAGCAGTTGTCTCAAAGGGCACGTCACTCTTGTAGCAGTCAGTGGTCTCAAAGGGCATGTCACTCTTGTAGCAGTCAGTGGTCTCAAAGGGCACGTCACTCTTGTAGCAGTTGTCTCAAAGGGCACGTCACTCTTGTAGCAGTCAGTGGTCTCAAAGGGCATGTCACTCTTGTAGCAGTCAGTGGTCTCAAAGGGCACGTCACTCTTGTAGCAGTTGTCTCAAAGGGCACGTCACTCTTGTAGCAGTCAGTGGTCTCAAAGGGCACGTCACTCTTGTAGCAGTCAGTGGTCTCAAAGGGCACGTCACTCTTGTAGCAGTCAGTGGTCTCAAAGGGCACGTCACTCTTGTAGCAGTTGTCTCAAAGGGCACGTCACTCTTGTAGCAGTCAGTGGTCTCAAAGGGCACGTCACTCTTGTAGCAGTCAGTGGTCTCAAAGGGCACGTCACTCTTGTAGCAGTCAGTGGTCTCAAAGGGCACGTCACTCTTGTAGCAGTCAGTGGTCTCAAAGGGCACGTTACTCTTTTAGCAGACAGTGGTCTCAAAGGGCACGTCACTCTTGTAGCAGTCAGTGGTCTCAAAGGGCACGTCACTCTTGTAGCAGTCAGTGGTCTCAAAGGGCACGTCACTCTTGTAGCAGTCAGTGGACTCAAAGGGCACGTCACTCTTGTAGCAGTCAGTGGTCTCAAAGGGCACGTCACTCTTTTAGCAGACAGTGGTCTCAAAGGGCACGTCACTCTTGCAGCAAACGGTTGCTGAGTTGAGATTGTGCCTTAATCTAAAAAGACGCCATTTCCAAAAGAAAATAGACCATTGCGTTAGCATGTTGGGATGGAAGAGTTCTGTGAGTGGTATGTTTAGACACATGGGTGTGTGGGGTTTTGGTGTGAGGGTGTGAACGTCTTTTGATCTGGACTTCTCATTCAAACAGTTGAAACACTGAATCTGGTTAGTCCAGAGTCACTGTTGGATAGCTGACTCCCAGCGTCACTGTTGGATAGCTGACTCCCAGTGTCACTGTTGTGTACCTGACTCCCAGCGTCACCGTTGTGTAGCTGACTCCCAGCGTCACTGTTGTGTACCTGACTCCCAGCGTCACTGTTGTGTACCTGACTCCCAGCGTCACTGTTGTGTAGCTGACTCCCAGCGTCACTGTTGTGTAGCTAACTGCAAAAAAAAAAAGACAATCATGTTTCTAAACCAACTCATCTTCATGTTTTGGAGCAAAGGCTGGTGATTTGAAGGCTTGTGATTGTAATAAAAGTCACTAGTCATGGACGTGGTTCACACTTCTTCAGATGGCATAGATCACGTGCTGACAATTGAACCCTAAACCTGATCTTGAACCCTAAACCTGATCTTGAACCCTAAACCTAAGCAAGTTAAGATCACAAGTGAAACCTCAGGTACCTAATGCACAAGAAAACCAAAATCTAAAACCGTTTGCTTGAAATACTTAACTTAGCTTTTAATCTAGTGTTGGTTCTTGTAAATAGTTTTATTACGTTTCTCTTTTGGTAACGGCATTTTATTTTTGGTCACAAAAATATTTTCACATCGCATTTTATGGTCACTTCGTTTTTATTATTTATTTACAACTTTTGGTAGCAAAAACATTGTATAAATGTCATTCAAATTTTCACCATGGTGTCATTTAAACCTCACACCGACGGCAGCAGAATTGTGATTCATGTACATCAACCATTTTAATAATTGTGTTTCTGTGTTTGTATAAGTTTAAATATGTGATGTAAATACGACATCAATGTAAACACTTTTCTAGCTAAATTAAAAGTCACATAAAGAGTGTAGTGAGGGGTTGTCTATAATTATCACCAGGCTACTTAATGAATGGCTACTCTGGCAAGCTTAATTACAGGTCAGTGAGTGGGTTTCAAGAAAACTTGAGTACGAGTTAGCTCAAGTTAGAGACATTTACTTATAAGACAGAAGTTTCTAAATGGCTTTAGATTAGGTATAATCTAAAATGTTTAGGACCAGTTAATTAATAATATATATTTTACGACACATTTTGTAATAAGGTCGCATATTGTGTCAATGTCTAAACGCCAGATGTCTATATCGTGTATAGACAACCCCCGAACTCAAACTGTAATAATAATTATATATTACATGTCTTGATATGTATTGCTTGCTCGTGTTTTATTTGAAAATGATCTGAATTTTATGAGATCTCAAACAAGGCATAAGTTTAGCCGAGGAAGATCTGAATTTTATGAGATCTCAAGAAAAAGTTAGAACGAATATGATCTGAATTTTATGAGATCTCAAGAAAAAGTTAGAACGAATAGGATCTGAGTTTTATGAGATTTCAAGCAAGGCAGAAGTTTAGCCAAATATGATCTGAATTTGATGAGATCTCCAACAAGCCAATGGTTTAACTGTATCTCAAACACGACAAAAGGTTTAGCTGTGTAGGATCAACCACCTATCTATCTGTATGCTATCTTTTTCTGAAGATTCCACTAACATTTCTTGTTTAAAGAAATGCATTCAAGGCACTGTTTTTATGATATTTAATTATGACAATAAAAATTAAGACATATTCAGTGTTTCATTTTTCGATCTTTCCCCCTGTGGGGGGGGGGGGGGGGTGGACACTGGTTAAAGTCAGGGGCGTAGCGAGGGGGGGGGGGCGGGGGGGTGCGGACCGCACCGGGTGACACCATTTAGGGGGGTGACACCAAGGCAAAAAATAGCAAAATATATAGAGAAAGACTTCAGGGGGGGGGGGGGGGGTGCAAATCGAAAACTTGAAAGTTTGTCCCCGGGAAGGGTAGCTACGCCTCTGGGGGGGGGGGTGACACCATTAAGTGCCGCACCGGGTGACACCCGACCTCGCTACGCCACTGGTTAAAGTATTCATTTGTTATATTAATTTTTTTTTTATAAATTACACATTTTTCTTTTCGTTCGGGGGGGGGGGGGGGCGGCACTAATAAGAGACATTAACATACAAGCACCAGTGAACAGTCCCAACTGTTTACATCATAAACACCAATATTTCTAAGCGGAGCTTTTAAGGGAAGGAACTCTGATGTATTTTTGTCCTTGTTTCTTTTTCTTTGATTATCTACCCTTAGTTTTTAAGATAGTGAAAACATAATTCACTTTTTAACTGTTGAGAATAAAATAAAAAAAAAATACTATAAAGTTGAAATGATTTCAAGGAATACAAGTCAAATGATTTTACTCATTTTCCCATCATATAACTAAGGGGCTTAATTTAAAATCAAACTATTTAAATACGGATCGAACTCATGATAAATATCACGCGGGTGTTGGGATATGGGCTATCATTTAGCTCTATATAATGGTAAATGGAGTTGTGGTGATCGAGATGTTTTTTTTTTAAGTTTATATAAGAAAAATTTCGCTACTCTATCTTGTTTAATGAATCAATTTCTCGAAGACTTGGCAGAAAATATATTGATTATTATTGAATTTGTTTTAATTAATTAGTAAAATATATTTTTGACCAGTACCTACATTAGAAATTAGAATTGTAATTAAATGCTCAAAACTACTTTATATTAAGTGGTGGATAGGTAGCTTTGTTAAATATTATAGCGGATGGAGGTCTATAAAATAGATATGTAAAAATGTATGTGGTGGTGAGAGATTTTTGTGTGATACACATTTTTCTTTTTCGTTCGGGGGTGGGGGGGGGGGGGCGGCACTAATAAGATACATTAACATACAAGCACCAGTGAACAGTCCCAACTGTTTACATCATAAACACAAATATTTCTAAGCGGAGCTTACACGACCTGTTACCGTGCCGGTATAAGGAGCCCCACGGTTCGACTGTCGCTTCTCAACGCTACCCTGTGGGGAGGGTGTGTGGTTACCACAGCAGGGAGGGTGTGTGGTTACCACAGGGAGGGTGTGTGGTTACCACAGTAGGGAGGGTGTGTGGTTACCACAGGGAGGGTGTGTGGTTACCACAGGGAGGGTGTGTGGTTACCACAGCAGGGAGGGTGTGTGGTTACCACAGCGGGGAGAGTGTGTGGTTACCACAGGGAGGGTGTGTGGTTACTACAGTAAGGGTGAGTGTGGTTACCACAGGGAGGGTGTGTGGTTACCACAGTAGGGAGGGTGTGTGGTTACCACAGGGAGGGTGTGTGGTTACCACAGCAGGGAGGGTGTGTGGTTACCACAGCGGGGAGAGTGTGTGGTTACCACAGTAGGGAGGGTGTGTGGTTACCACAGTAGGGAGGGTGTGTGGTTACCACAGCAGGGAGGGTGTGTGGTTACCACAGCAGGGAGGGTGTGTGGTTACCACAGGGAGGGTGTCTGGTTACCACAGTAGGGAGGGTGTGTGGTTACCACAGTAGGGAGGGTGTGTGGTTACCACAGGGAGGGTGTGTGGTTACCACAGCAGGGAGGGTGTGTGGTTACCACAGCGGGGAGAGTGTGTGGTTACCACAGCGGAGAGGGTGTGTGGTTACCACAGTAGGGAGGGTGTGTGGTTACCACAGTAGGGAGGGTGTGTGGTTACCACAGTAGGGAGGGTGTGTGGTTACCACAGCAGGGAGGGTGTGTGGTTACCACAGTAGGGAGGGTGTCTGGTTACCACAGCAGGGAGGGTTTGTGGTTACCACAGGGAGGGTGTGTGGTTACCACGGGGAGGGTGTGTGGTTACCACAGCAGGGAGGGTGTGTGGTTACCACAGCGGGGAGAGTGTGTGGTTACCACAGCGGAGAGGGTGTGTGGTTACCACAGTAGGGAGGGTGTGTGGTTACCACAGTAGGGAGGGTGTGTGGTTACCACAGTAGGGAGGGTGTCTGGTTACCACAGCAGGGAGGGTTTGTGGTTACCACAGGGAGGGTGTGTGGTTACCACGGGGAGGGTGTGTGGTTACCACATCAGGGAGGGTGTGTGGTTACCACAGCGGGGAGAGTGTGTGGTTACCACAGCAGGGAGGGTGTGTGGTTATCACAGCGGGGAGGGTGTGTGGTTACCACAGTAGGGAGGGTGTGTGGTTACCACAGCAGTGAGGGTGTGTGGTTACCACAGTAGGGAGGGTGTGTGGTTACCACAGTAGGGAGGGTGTCTGGTCTGGTTACCACAGCAGGGAGGGTGTGTGGTTACCACAGTAGGGAGGGTGTCTGGTCTGGTTACCACAGCAGGGAGGGTGTGTGGTTACCACAGTAGGGGTCAGTGTGGTTACCACAGTAGGGAGGGTGTGTGGTTACCACAGTAGGGAGGGTGTGTGATTACCACAGGGAGGGTGTGTGGTTACCACAGGGAGGGTGTGTGGTTACTACAGCGGGGAGGGTGTGTGGTTACCACAGCATGGAGGGTGTGTGGTTACCAGAGTAGGGAGGGTGTGTGGTTACCACAGTAGGGAGGGTGTGTGGTTACGACAACAGGGAGGGTGTGTGGTTACCACAGCGGAGAGGGTGTGTGGTTACCACAGCAGGGAGCGTGTGTGGTTACTACAGCGGTGAATGTGTGTGGTTACCACAGCGGGGAGGTTGTGTGGTTACCACAGCGGGGAGGGTGTCTGCAGTATCCGGCATTCAGTTCATACGGTGAACATTACGAGCATTTTACAGTCGAGGTGGCGTTCGTACAACGAAACCTTTATTCTACTCAAAGTACGTTTTGCTGGCTACTCCTACTAATACCCGAACCCTCGGGCAGATGATGCTAGTCAGCTGGGGACAGCCACCCATGTAGGAGCCAGAAATCAAAACCTTCAACCCGAGGCCCCGCCCAAGCATAATCCGCCCCTGACCAGTGGAGTGTGACTCGGGACCACCGCCATGTTATGTCACCAGGCACGGTTATTTTTTCAAAGAACTAAAAATAAATCCTACAGGCTAGGAGTGCGACCGAACTGGTTCGATCCGGTTTTTGTACTTCTATGTTGCCCACGCGTGGCTAGCGCCGCCACCAAAGAATTAATTAAAAACCTGTCGGAAAAAAAGATCTGATACGTCATTGACGCAGCCCCCTCTAACCTCCACTACCCCCCCCCCCCCGACCCTCCAGGTGTTTTCAAATGTGTCGCACGAGCCTGATCTTGCAGCACGTGCCGTCCCCATTCCTCTGTTACGTCACAGACTCGACACAGACGGCTCCAGACAATCGGAGAGTTTCGCCGGCAGACGGCTCCGTGTCACCTGAAACCCTTTCACTCGGGCCAATCAGTCAATACACGTGTCCAATATCCGCAGAGATCCGCCCGGGACGCGCCAGCCTATCTTGGTATTCGTTCAATTACCTGACTTTTGCCTGTCTTTTACCTGACTTTTGGAGTGGGTACTCTTGCAACATGACGTCTTCCTTACAACGTTTGGATTCAATGGGGCTTTGGACAGAGAGAGTTGTCATTGACCAACTTTCTCTTCTACACAATAGTGTGGCTTAAAATTGCCCGTCGATTTTGGCTTTATGTTAGAAGTATTGAGGTGTTTATTTAGGTGCAGGATAGGAGTATATAGGTGCAGGATAGAAGTATTTAGGTGCAGGATAGAAGCATTTAGGTGCAGGATAGAAGTATTTAGGTGCAGGATAGAAGTATTTAGGTGCAGGATAGAAGTATTTAGGTGCAGGATAGAAGTATTTAGGTGCAGGATAGAAGTATTTAGGTGCAGGATAGAAGTATTTAGGTGCAGGATAGAAGTATTTAGGTGCAGGATAGAAGTATTTAGGTGCAGGATAGAAGTATTTAGGTGCAGGATAGAAGTATTTAGGTGCAGGATAGAAGTATTTAGGTGCAGGATAGAAGTATTTAGGTGCAGGATAGAAGTATTTAGGTGCAGGATAGGAGTATTTAGGTGCAGGATAGAAGTATTTAGGTGCAGGATAGAAGTATTTAGGTGCAGGATAGAAGTATTTAGGTGCAGGATAGAAGTATTTAGGTGCAGGATAGAAGTATTTAGGTGCAGGATAGAAGTATTTAGGTGCAGGATAGAAGTATTTAGGTGCAGGATAGAAGTATTTAGGTGCAGGATAGGAGTATTTAGGTGCAGGATAGGAGTATTTAGGTGCAGGATAGAAGTATATAGGTGAAGGGTATGAGTATTTAGGTTTAGGAAAGCTGTATTTAGGTCCAGGTTGAAAAAAAAAAACCTTTTAAAATAGTGTCACAAAATTGAAGCTAGGACTTGACGGTTCGATAGTTTCCATTCCTCACAAGGACCGTGGCACCCAACCTAATTAAGCTGCCGTCATTCTGCTGATAAGAATATGTCGCGCAAGTCACGCGTCACTTGTTAGCCCAGCGAGCAAAAGGCGACCTAAAGCTTGGCCGATAAAATCTTGGATTTAATGAATGATCTCGGGTCGCTGATATCACTCGGGCTAGTCCCCTTGGTGACACGTTAGGTCTGAGTGGAGCGAACCCAGGGTATCACCGCCGTGTTGTTCAGATACTTGAAGATCTGGTGTTGTTTCAGATGGTGCAGTTAGGGGAGGGGCTGGGGTGGTATGGGGGGGGGGGTGGGGGCGACTAAACAAGGGTACAGGGGGGAGGGTAAATCACCGATTTGGGGTGAAGAGGATTGTCTGCAGCGTTTCTTTCAGACTTTTTTCT